GTCAACTTCACCACACCTGCAGCGCCGGGCAACATAACTGTCAACTTCACCACACCTGCAGTGCTGGTCAACCTAACCACACCTGCAGTGCCAGTCAACTTCACCACACCTGCAGCGCCTCTCAACCTCACCACACCTGCAGCGCCTGTCAACTTCACCACACCTGCAGCGCCTGTCAACTTCACCACACCTGCAGTGCCTGTCAACTTCACCACACCTGCAGCGCCTGTCAACTTCACCACACCTGCAGCGCCGGTCAACTTCACCACACCTGCAGCGCCTGTCAACATAACTGTCAACTTCACCACACCTGCAGTGCCTGTCAACTTCACCACACCTGCAGCGCCGGGCAACATAACTGTCAACTTCACCACACCTGCAGTGCCCGTCAACCTAACCACACTTGCAGTGCCGGTCAACTTCACCACATCTGCAGCGCCTGTCAACTTCACCACACCTGCAGTGCCGGTCAACTTCACCACAGCTGCAGTGCCTGTCAACTTCACCACACCTGCAGTACCTGTCAACTTCACCACACCTGCAGTGCCTGTCAACTTCACCACAGCTGCAGTGCCTGTCAACTTCACCACACCTGCAGCGCCTGTCAACATAACTGTCAACTTCACCACAGCTGCAGCGCCGGGCAACACAACTGCAGCGCCTGTCAACATAACTGCAGATCTGACCACTCCAGCATTCAACACGACCACTCCACCATCCAACGCGACCACTCCAGCATTCAACATGACCACGCCAGCATTCAACACGACCGCTCCAGCATTCAACACGACCACGCCAGCATTCAACACGACCACTCCAGCATTCAACACGACCACGCCAGCATTCAACACGACCACTCCAGCATTCAACACGACCACGCCAGCATTCAACACGACCACGCCAGCATTCAACACGACCACTCCACCATCCAACGCGACCACTCCAGCATTCAACATGACCACGCCAGCATTCAACACAACCACTCCAGCATTCAACATGACCACTCCAGCATTCAACACGACCACTCCAGCATTCAACACGACCACGCCAGCATTCAGCACGACCACTCCAGCATTCAACACGACCACGCCAGCATTCAACACGACCACTCCAGCATTCAACACGACCACGCCAGCATTCAACACGACCACTCCAGCATTCAACACGACCACGCCAGCATTCAACACGACCACTCCAGCATTCAACACGACCACGCCAGCATTCAGCACGACCACTCCAGCATTCAACACGACGACACAGCCGACCACTCCAGTCAACACGACGACACAGCCGACCACTCCAGTCAACACGACGACACAGCCGACCACTCCAGTCAACACGACAACACAGCCGACCACTCCCGTCAACACGACAACACAGCCGACCACTCCAACTCCAGTCAACACGACAACACAGCCGACCACTCCCGTCAACACGACAACACAGCCGACCACTCCAACTCCAGTCAACACGACGACACAGCCGACCACTTCCGTCAACACGACTGCTGTCATGATCACAACAACAGTCACAACTCAGCTTTCAACTACACCTGATGCAACTGGAACGATGGCTACGATAGCAGGTATTTTTTCTATCAAAACCAATAGATGAATGAATGAGTGAAAGAGTTTACATAAAAGTGTATTCTGTCTGATTACAATCATATGGTTTTTGTTGACAAGATTAATCTAGTAAAAATGATAAATGTCCCCTCAACTGTACTATTCTAATTGTTTAAGAATCGAACTATTTTCATCCAAAAAGTTGGACAACAGAATTTGCGACTGAATCACGCTTCTTCTGCAATCTGTCCCGATCGTGCAAGACACGTAACTTCATACGTGGTGCGACGTCATCAATATATTTAGGTCAAAGGCTAATGGAAGCTGATATCGTCCCCCGTCCCGGTTGATAGACGGTTGAGTTGGAGTCTTGGGGGGGGGGGCGGTTTTATTGTTCCACAATGTAATTCACCAAATCCATTGAACTTTCTTTACTGAACTACTATAAACTCTTGTTCTAGTTGTAGACTGTGGCTGTCCATTGCTGCCCTCCCATGCTGTGGTGAATCTGACAGCTACAACCACTGGCTCCGTGGCAACTTACACCTGCAAGACGGGGTTTCAGTACGCAAGTGGGACCACTACTCTTACCTGTGGCAGTGATGGGGAGTGGAAGGGCACACCGATAACCTGCGAAGGTAGTGAAAAATATTAATCACAATTCATGAAAAATTCCTTCTGATTAGTGTAGTATTATGACACTATGTTGTTAAGGAATGTCCTACTTGTTAGTACAATAGTTTTCGAGTCTGGGTTCAGAATCAATTGCAAACAAAATGTACAGTTTTGGTCGGTCTAGAGAACCCCACTCAGTATGTTGATTTTCAAAGAAAGTGGCCAGAACAGATGGACGTTGAAAAATCTACCAGATGCACACTGATTGTTACTTGGTTACGTTAAACGTTCTCAAGCTTTCTTGGCCGCACATTTGGTTGTAAAAGTTGTAAAATGACAAGTCTTGTATAATCTTTTACTCATTATCGCACAAGATGAAAACAACCCCCCCGTGGATTTTAACTTGCCATTTACCTTTTTCTTTACTCAGCTATTATCCCCTGTATCCGTTTCTGTGGATTTGGAAGCTGCTTTGTTGACGAAGGCATACAGAAGTGTGACTGCAACACGGGATACGGATTCTTTGGCCTTTCCCAGTTTTGCCTAGGTAAGTTCCTTTACACTTTCAACCACCACTTTAAATGATGTAAACTGTATCTTGTTATATATTTTGTCTGACCCTTACCTCTTCCCTCATGGCATCAATGAAAAGCGACCTGTAGGCCAATTTGAATTCGAATTTCTCTGAATAAAGAATGGTTCAAAGACAAACACAATCTTGATGTAACGTCACGTTATGTTCCATATTGATTTTTTTATAAAAGGCATGTTCTTTTAGTTACTACTTTCAAGCAACATACCAAATGTTTACGGATTATGGAAAGATATGTCGTAACGGTTGTATATGCTTTATAACTTTGTCTTATCAGTTTTTAAAACTCCAATGATATACTAGTAATTTTCTGACAGAACAACGTGCTTCCTTTTGCAGATATCAATGAGTGCGAAGGCGGTTTGGACTATTGCCTGGGCCGGCCAGCCTGTGCGCCTAACGCGAGGTGCATCAACTCTCCGTACGGCTCCTACACGTGCAGGTGTCCCAGTGGTTATACTGGTGATGGGAGGACTTCATGCGAAGGTCTGTTCTTCACCAACAAGTTGCACTGCACGAAACGTTGGGTTTAATAATGGTAGTAAATATCGCGATTTATGGCAGAAAAGTCACGTACTGTTTACTTTGTAACTGTTTACTTTGTAAACAGCACCGGACTTTGCAATAGTAGGAAATGCCGCCAATTGGTAGTACGTTGAGTAATTTTACTTGATTTACTGCCATAGTTTTATTAAATATTGACTCGCTGGCAAACTAGCTTTTACCCTCCTTTGAACATCTACAATGTAATTAGAATCGGCTCATGGAATCCTTTTTATCATTGCCTATGTAAAGGAAATAACCCAAAGAATAACTTGTGTTGACTTATCATTAAGTTACAACATTTTTTCACATAATAAGGGTTGCCGACACAGAAACAAGTAACGCGTTACAACCAGTTATTTGCAGTGTCTTGAAAATTCATAGTTTTTTTGTTGTTGTAATGAAAGATCGATGAGATTGTTAACGTTATGCTGATCAGAGAAATTTAAAATTTATTTTCCAGATGAAGACGAGTGTTTGTCGGCTCCATGTTCCGAGTTTGCCAACTGTACCAACACAGCAGGCAGCTACACGTGTGCGTGCTGGGACGGATATGTGGGGTCTGGTACAGTCTGTGCAGGTTTGTAAAGTTTTTAATCACGAAAGTAGGTATTTGCTAAAAAACGGAAGTAGAACTGTCAACTTCGATAACTTTGGATCGATGGATTTACTTCAAACTTGGGATAAATAAATGGGAGCACAATCTGGAAATGACCACATAATTCAGATTTGTGCGACGAGGAAGGCCCCAGAACGGTCATTTGTGGTCATTTGCTAAAAAGAGACAGCGGCTTGTTAATCGTAACCAAATTAAAAAGGCCCCCATAATGATAATATCCAAAGTTTAACATGTCACAATACCAGAGCTGTTGAAAAGTAATTTAGAAGGAATAATCATGGTTTGTGTGACAAAATTATATACTCAAAACGACAGTCACAGCTTTCACATGGCGTTTTCGGTAATTTTGCTACAAAGAGGATGCTACTTTTACTCTAAAAATGCCCGGGAACTGAAAATGTAAACATCATGGCGGACAGTTTGTGCAAGCTAGAGCGTGTACCGGCATCAGATTCCGTAGCGTTGTGGAGTATTTAGAGGGAGTTGAAGATCACCAACCCTTCTGTCCGTGAGGTAAGAGTATAGGCTAAGCTAGGAGAAGCCTGATAAGCCAGGGGAAAATGGATAATCGCGCAGCCGACGGAAGATGTCTACGACTCTTGCGAGGGCTACAGGCTCCCCGGGATGCGCTGTATTATGGCCGAGGCTGTAAATGTACTAATGTTTGTACTTGTACTAATGATTAGGCCTATATATACGCGTACCATACGAAATTACGATAGGACTGCAAACCAGGCTGCCAAGTTACAAGTTATAAGATCTTATAACGGCTAACAAGTTACGAAGGTGAAGTGCACCGATCAAAAGCGGCCCCTACCAGTTTAATGGAGAACTGCACCATAATGTTAACTAATCTGCTCCAATCATTTCAAGTGTTTACAGGGACAATTGATTTGTTCTCAAATTTCAGACAAGATTCTCAAATGTCACACACAGAACCACCATAGTATGTAACGTTATATATGGAGAATATCAATGTTTTCAAATCTCTAGTAATATCAACAAAATGTTTATTGTTGTGTTCCTCCCATCTAGAAATCAACGAGTGCAGTTCCAACCCCTGCATAGGTGGAACGTGTGCGGATAGGATCAACAGTTTCACCTGTACCTGTCGTGAGGGGTTCGCTGGGGAGAGGTGTGAAATAAGTGAGTCTGTTCGTAATTAGATGGAATTACATTCTTTCTAAAGACATGAACTGATTGTTTTATTCTTCATCAATTCCGTTATAATTGCATTTCTTCTGAGATTCAATAAGTCGTCATATTTGCTTCCAGGTAGGTACGGATTAGTATTGTTTAGGTGGCTGGTTAGTAGTAGTAGTATCCGTTTGCACGGACTGAGTAGGTTGACAGCACGTGGGTGGTAGAAGATTGACAGGCAAACTGAAAGGATGTCAGAGGTCTCAGAATCTCTCAGGACGCCAATACATGTGAGAATTCAGGACGTCAACATTTGTATATATTTGTATATATTTCCTGGAAGTCTGAAATCACCAATTTCATTAAAAAAATAAACACAATATTGTCTCATAGGTACCAGCACAGTTTGATATGTAAATCATAAACAGTTACAGTTATTAAAATTTATTTCATCATGATACATCAAGCTTTCCCAATTACTGAGGTAAATCATTTGAAAGTTGGTTTCAGTATTACATGTACATCAAAATCTTGACCGATTCATACTTTATTTTTCCAGACATCGATGACTGTGACCCTCCTCCCTGCTTGAACAATGGGACCTGTACTGACAGAGTCAACGCTTACAGCTGTGCCTGTGTGGACGGGTGGGAGGGAAATAACTGTGGAGTCGGTAAGACATTTCTCCAGTCATGAACCATGATATAGACTCAGTAGCATGTTGCACGAAACCCGTTAAGTGCATAGCACTTAATCAGATCGTCTGTCTCATATAAGGTGGTATTTGCATATATAAGGTTAACACTCCATCCGTAGTATCCAAATATTATGTTAGAAAAGATACAACAGGCAAAATAGGCAGGTACATTCTGCTGACATGCTAGACTCAGTCATATTTGGGACCACAGTCTTTCCAGTGCAGCAGTGACACCTGGCTGCAGTACCAGGTAGAACAGGTAATATGCACTATTTAGGGAAGGTGACAAATGGTTACCAAAACATCAGCTACTAGTACTACCTCAGTAAAGTACTGTATTCTGTGAACGGAAACGGAAAAATGTTATTGTGGCCAGCAGGTGGTCGGCTTGGAAAGGTGGCCACTTGGACAGGTTTGACTGTACAATTTGTCCCTTTATACATCAATGAAGGTTAGACATCCAGGTAATGAGAAAATCAAAATGTATCCAGATACTTGAATAACAATTTCCTTGTGAATTTGTCCCATTATTTTTCACAGATATCAATGAGTGCAGGTCTGATCCCTGTAACCGGAATGCAGACTGCAGAAACACAAACGGTTCCTTCATCTGCACCTGTAAACAAGGTTTCCAAGGAGACGGGTTTATTTGCACTGGTAAAATGACTACTAAGTATACTACATCATTGTGTTGATACAACTTGCCAAAGATTTGTATGCTTCCCAGAGACCATATAAATATTATAATGATACCAGATTGCGAACTCTTTTGTAAATATGCATGAAATTGAGATTGTGCTAGATTCTTACATGTTACAATTTTCTTCTTCATACTTCTTGTGTGTGTCCTATGAAGGTATTCAAATTGCTTAGCATTCTAGTTATTGAATCGATACTTCTGAATCAGTTTTTTCTTGCAATAATGAAATGTAGTAATTTAAGTATATGACTGCTGGTGCATCGTAGTAGCTTTAAATATTGCTCCATGTGTTTTACAAGTACACAATTGAACTGCTAACATGTTGATGGATAAAACTTAGTCAAAGAGTACATCAGATTAGAAGAGTTCAATTCAAATTGTTATGCTTTGACTTTGTGTTCTTTTCTTACGCAGAAATCGATGAGTGTGATTCTGACCCCTGCCAAAATGGCGGAACCTGTATAGATGAATTTAACAGGTATACGTGTGACTGTCTTAGTGGATGGCAGGGAGATAACTGTGAAAGTGGTGAGTCAATTTACTCCATTTATGTATATATGTGTGTGTGTGTGTGTGTGGATGTGGATGTGTGGGGTGTGGATGTGTGTGCGTGTGTGTGTGTGTGTGTGTGTGTAATGTTGTGTCTGGGTGAGTGTGAGTGTATGTGTGTCTGAGTGAGTGTGAGTGTATGTGTGTGTGTGTTAGTGTTAGTGTTAGTCTGTGTGTGTGCATCAATGCACAAAAGAGCTTGATGATATTTACTGACTTTTTTGGAAGGAAAAAAACACCTATTATCATGCGACAGCAACAGACTTTATTGTTACTGTTACAGTAACAGTATTATTTTAGCAATTTAGAATATAAAGTGAGATGGTCACTTGAATGCCTACATGTATTACTATATACCTTAAAAGTTTGTTATCTTACAGATATCTAGATATCCCCTCTAACTTGTTGCATATTTGTTTACCTGCAGATGTTGATGAGTGTGCCCTACAGAGATGCCATGAGAACTCCAACTGTACCAACTCACCAGGCAGCTACACCTGCACATGCAGGGAGGGTTTCTATGGGAACGACCTAACACAGGAGAACCTCATATGTAGAGGTAAGACGCTGAATGACCTGTTACATCTAACCTTCACATATTTACATGTAACTCAGTCCATTCCATTCTGTGCAGAACATAGGGGTGGTGCCCATCTCCATTTCTGTAACCCTTGGGCCACACAGTTGTGCAAGCACTACTGTAACAGCATGGGGCAGTCCGCTGGTAGTGTTGTGTGTTTGACCTCCCCATAATCTTTCTCATAGACGCTGAGTGCTGAGCAGAGAAAAGAGTATGTACCATTTTTAAACCTTTAAGGTACAGTACAGATCGCAGGATAAGCATAATCGGGATTCAGGATTTTGCGGGATCTCCCGTGGGAGTTTGCGGGATATCACACAGGATATTGCGGGATATCCCGCGGTATTCTTTCGGGACACATATCGTGTCCCGTGTACCGTGTAGTGAGAAAACTTGGTGCGAGACCCCCAAGTCTACCGCGGCTCCGAACGCTGATGGCGGTGTGCCAAATGTTTATTTTTATGTCTTGACGGGCAATCTGTGCCGGGCCGGCCCTCATTACCTCCTGGTTACAAAATGAGCACTCTACCCAATTGAGCTATTGTACTGGTCATGCACATCTAACTGTAAGCATTGTTAAGCTGATGTTGATGATAATGATACAATTTTTTTACAGAAATAATCCTGTTCCCTTACGGTGAAGAACAAGGAGACTCATTGTTACCTGACGCAGACAACCGTAAAGACATCTCTCTACCTTCTCTGATAGAAATCAGTATAGGGTTCCCCTTCTTTGGACAGTTCTACTACAGCCTTTATGTAAGTTTACTTTCCTGTTCCCAATCTCACACCAGGTGGAAAGATAGATATGAACTAGAAAGGCCAATATTTGCTTTGGAGCAAATATAGCGATGGGTTCACCACATTTTACCACATGGCAGGGAAAGAATGAGAAACACAAGGGAAAACAATGCTTTACATTGATATAACTATAGTATGAAGTAACATACAACTAAGACTACAACAGTTGGATAGCTATTCCCTACATTATTGGTTAGGATTGCATAATGCAAACAGTTGATTTTCAAGATAAAAAGAAGCGTTCATAGCCCGCATTCCAATGCTGGAGCAGGAAAGCTTAAAATACCTACCAAAACACTTGAATACAGACATACTGTCAGTATGGCATGGCTCTGTGCAGGTGTAAATGAAGTTAAGCCAGTTAAATCCCAACAGCCAATCAGCAAGGAGAATAGAGGAAAGCTGCATGCCTATTGGTTGATGCCTTGCATGCCATTGTGATGACTCATGTCCAAATGTGGTAAACACTGCACACTTACACAGTAATACATTAGCTATTACACAGCCAAAAAACTCAAATAAAACCATTCTAAAAGCCTGTATCACAATAATTTAAAAAACGCCTAGGGGTATTTGCCCACTGTACCTCCATACCAAATTTCAGGACCTTAGGCCCTAAAATGAAGAAGCTGAATCCATTTAAAGATATGGCAGGAGGAGGAGGAGGAGAAGGAGAAGGAGAAGAAGAAACATCAGAAAAAGCAATATGGTTTCACCACACCACTTCGTGGTGTGGTGAACCCATAATAATATATATCCTTTGCTAATAACAGTACATTGTATGATATTATACAGTATATAAGTTTAAAAAGTACTGTCTAGCATCTCATTATTGCTATTTGCTACATTTTGCATGTCTCATCATTTGATGTTGATTCAAAAGTAACTGACATTATCAATCAAAATGTTTTAAGACATTGGTTGAAAAAAGTCCTACAGTAACGGTATTCTCAAGTGTAAAGACTTAGTATAAAGACACACGCACACACACACACACACACACACACACGCACACACACGCACACTCACGCACACACACACACACACACACACACACACACACTCACACACACACACAGACACACACACTCACACACACTCACTCACACACACAGACACACACACGTACACACAGATAGATAGACAAAGCTATAATAGGCATACATTGTACATGTACATATTGACACAGATATCTATTAGATAATCATGAATATTAAATATATCATATGATGTAGACCTTAACTGGATCTGTCAACCCTACATGTTCTGGTATGTAATTCATCTTTTGTGTATTGCAAAGATACATGCAAAAATGTTACCTTGTACTGATGTAAGATTATGAAAATTTTTCTCTCTTTCTTCACAGTTCTCAGATAACGGCTTGATCATATTCCCGCCGACGACACAGTCCCGAGCGCGGAGGGAACCCTACCCGAACCCGAGCGTCTTCAGGAGTAACCAGACAGTACAGGCTGGGTTCCCTCCTATGGTAGCAGTGTCATGGGGAGATGTGGATCTAACAACAGACGTGGGGAAAGTCTGGTATCAGGTAAGGGAACACGGTTTCCATTGAGAATCTGCAGTGTTAAGCTTAAAACAATTGATCAACCAGATTTTTATAATCTGTAAATGTTATACTGGTAAAACCCTTGTCATCTATAAAACCCTTATCATTTAGTACATCGTCATTATGTTTGTATAAGACATGGTATTCGTCATAAACTACCAACAGTGCAAAAACATCCCGTATTTGAGGTCAGAGTCAAACTTTACATTGTAAGTCTGGTAAAGATCCAACTACACTTGTCGAAAAGAGTAGGGGTCCTTCCCAGTGTATGAGTGGTTCAAACCTTACAGTCTGGTCTTGCACAGCTTGTACTTAGTTACAGTACAAAACTGGTGTGTTACATCTACAATGTAGAGGTGATTTACAAGTTAGGCGAAACAAACAAACATATGTCTTATTCTTTCCTTTCATCTCCAGGTATACTCTGATGACAACTCAGTTGACAATGCAACTCAAATAATGTTTGACATGGTTGAGGGGAGAGTGACCCAGTACTTCAGCGACACGTTTGTGCCCACCTGGGTACTGGTAGTGACCTGGGACAGTGTACCCTCTGTCGAGGCAACGTACACCAAACAGGACGTAAGTTTAGCAATTTTTGTGCAAATAGTAAAATACACTTCCAAAAAGAAAGCTCTTAATTTAGTAAAAGGTGCACTTTGTACTCTGAAAAGGTCTGTCGATTCCAGCTTTAATATTTAAGTCTTCAGAAATATAATATGATAATGAGGCATTTTAAAACCCAAACGAGTGAGTTTTTCATACATTTTGAACTTCTTGTGGTTGCATATAGGGCAATGTTAAGCTAATATCAAGTACACTTAGTACAATGTCGTTTTCCATAGCCTGGTATCCAAACCTATTTTAGCTGCTAAGTCTCTTTTGCCCTCTTCTATTTGCAAAGAAAATGAAAGAGAATCATCAGCTAAAACTTTGTACACCAGGTTAATGCCCTGTACTTGTTTTTCAGCCAAACACATTCCAAGCTGTCCTGGCCACAGACGGATCAGACTCCTTCGCTTTTCTGACCTACAAAGAAGACGAAATGCTGTGGACCAATGAAACACAGGACGTCGTTCTCGGCTATAACAGTGCAGACGGTGTCAACTTCGAAAACATCCAACTGGCAAATCCTTACAGACCCGACCAAGTCAACGGAAACACTGGGTTGAAAGGAAGATGGGCGTTTAAGTTGGCAACCAGGCAAACAAACTACAAGAAGCTTTGTCGTGACTGGTACAAGGCAGAGCCAGACCCTACAGAGTGGATTGTAGGAGAAGGCCTGTGTCCCTGCACACTGCTACAGGCACTGAGGGACCTACGCTTCGCCCCTGTTACCCTGTCTCCATTTGAGATCTTCTTCCTGCTGATTTTCACTCAAGGTGCGTATGCGTAACTTTTTGTTTATTTGGTGCAACTTAATCAACACATCACACAGAATATAATCCTCCAGCCACTCAAGGCATTGAGACACCATTGTACGCTTTGTCCATGTTACATTGTTTGATATAATATTATGATCTTCCTCTTGCTTCTGTTAAGTGAAAGTACAATACTCATGTTAATTAGTTTCATGACATTCATGTTGGTTAAGACAGATTAAGCACCATGTTTGTATACACGTGTAATAGTCCTTTTTTAATTCCAACACTTAGACATGGCAACAAACTTATTTTTATGCCATCATCACCGCAGAGAAACGCATGAACGGACAATAAACATAGTGTGAAAACTCGTGTAAAGTGCCCTTTCCAAGGGCACAATATAATATTGGTGGCATGGCAGGATCCTCTTGGCTCAGCGGCAGCCGAATGCTCTGTTGTTATGCCACTCGACCCCACCTTTTGTACAATGTGAATTGTATGTTCAATACATTGAGGCTGCTGGTATTTTTATGACAACTTGCTCTCACATCTCCAGACTTGGAAGTTTGCCTCAGCCCCCTGTTTGCCGGCCCGACTGGTTCCAGTGTTGACTGTTGTTACAAGTTCCTGGCCCTGAACACAGAGATACCTCTGGCTGGCAGCCACCATAGATATCCCAGGTTCTCCCAAAATTACACCGGTAAGTTTAAACTTTTCTTTATGCTGTATTCAAATAAAAACAACGTAATACACTGTGGAGCTTGACCTAAACTTTGCACAAATGGCTGGATAGCACTGCAAGTTATAATGTCCCTTATGTCCAGCCAGAAGTTCCCCATATCTTTTTGTATGTTTTTGCTCTGTTTCCTCTTCTTCTTCCTCTCCAAAGTAACCAATAAGGTCTGTATCTGTATCTGTATCTGTATAGCCGGTAATAACTGCCTTTTGGCGTAACACACCAGCTTTGGTCAATGACCAGAACCAGACTGTTACCATGGTAACTGGTGTTGGGTTACATCATGTTGCAATTTTATAGCAGGAGGGATTTAGACTCCTGTCACCATATATATGATGTGTTTGGGTAAGAATTAACAGTGCAGACCACATGAGAAGGTATACATTAAATATGCAGTTGCTTTACAAATGTTACCTTTCTACTTAATTTGTTTTCAGATTAATCATTTTTAAAACCATGTAAAACTATGATGATTGTTGACTTCCAGACCTTGACGTGACTCCTAAGACCTGGTGCTGCAGCCTGTCTGACGATGAAGACTTCTGTAACCTGTACTATGAGAAGAGGCCTCCAAACAGCTGTTCTTTGTACAGACCACCACGTCTAGGTATGCCTTACGGAACAACTTTGTAGTTTTACGATATGATATATCCGTAGATGATAAGGTAACATTGTATAATGCTTGAACACATAGTACAAATTATCCTTCAATTCATACCCTTCAATCTACAATCTATTATCTTTAATTTTGCTGCAAATTTGTTACGCTAAATTTTGTCATTGTTGAATTCTCGTTATTGATGTTAACCCCCAACTTAACTCTAACTAGACTTGTTTTTAATCTGCAAGCAGATCCTACAGTGACAAGACAGTTTCCATTGGTCAGAGGTGGCTACTAGGACACCTCTGGCCAATGGATACTGTCTTGCCACTTGTTATTTTATGATTAAGATTCTTTTCAATAAGAGTTAAGAATACCAGATACTTACTGAAAGTTTGTTAAAGTTTTCTTTTTTTGGAACACTTTTTACCATGTGTGATTGTTCTGTTTTTCAGCCATACTGTGGGGAGATCCTCACATGAAGACACTAGACGGCCTGGCCTACACCTTTAACGGGTTAGGAGAGTTTACCCTAGTCCAGACGAGGGGAGCAAGTGTTGGTTTCAGCCTGCAGGGGCGCACGGAGAAAGCCATCGGTACCCAGGGAGCAGCAGAGGCCACGGTCTTCACCGCATTTGCATCCAAGCAAGATGGCTCCTCAACGGTAATTATTTTTACCGAAGGAAAACGTATTGTTTTTGCTCAGTTTCTTCCTCTTCTTCTCCAAACCAATAAGGTCAATGACCTGAACCAGACGTCTGTCACCATGGTAACTAGTGCTGGGTTACATCATGTTGCAATATCTATAGCAGGATGGATTTAGACTCCTGTCTGACCATATGTGTTTAGAAATTATGTATGAACGTGTTTAGAAATGGTTGGTAATGATTCTTTTTTTTCATGTAGGTTGAAATGGGTATGAACGACGACCGTACAAACATGACACTAATGGTGGATGGACAGTCTGTCAACATCACTGATCTACAACAGAACGGTAATTTTGGCATGGGCCTAAATTTTCCAGAAGACTTTTTTCAAAGTTTCTAAAAGTTAAAAAAAATAAATATAAGAAAGAAAATGGTTCATAATGTTCAATGAGATAGTTGATTTTTGTGAGGTCCTTACCAATTGCTACTGCTTAACTTGCTATTTTTCTATGTACATTAATTCTTTAGACTTATACTATTTAGAGGAGCTTAAGTTTGGAGCAAAAAGCAAGCTTAGATAGTTATAAGAAGCCTTCTCCTTATAAAAATTGAATAGTATCACCAAAAAATGAATTTGAACAATTACATTGGGAAGGACCACAGTTCCACATAAATTAGAAAAACAAGATGGATAACGGAAAACAATAAAACGCCCAAGAGTTTGCTGACAAATTGTAACAACGAATGTATTCTTGTACATAGCATAAAACTCCATCTGTGTTGGTATCTGTATCTATATAGCCGGTATAACCGCCTTTCGGCGTAACACACCAGCTTCGCAGGCACGCGGCGCGGCGGCAGCTGGCTATATTACACCGATCGACTTGTTACACCTAACCCTTGAACTTCTAGCTCTAGACATTGTTTAAAGCTATCTATTGACAATGCCCCTACTGTACTTGGTGACAGTGAGTTCCACTCTGCGATAGTTCTAGGAAAGAATGAATTCTTGAACACCTCAATCCTTGGTTGATAACTCTGGTACTTGAATGCATGGCTATTTCTTGTTCTCTTCTGTGCTGGTATTAGGTACTTAGTAGTTGGGACATCCACCAGTTTATTAGTCATTGGTACAAGTCAATATGAAATAGTCATGGTACAAGTCAATATGAAATAGAGACTCAACTTTCTCTGCCAATACTACAATGAATTGGGACTTTTTGGCTGACTCCTTCAACCTTGTTCATGTACCGTATTCTTGTGCATGTTTTGTTCTGCAGGTGCCCAGCGTTTTGCCAATGTGGCTCTTCAGTACAACTTCAACTCCAACAGAACCAGTGTGGTGGCCTCCTTCTCTTCAGGAATAACAGTGACCGTCACGCTACAGAAACTCATGCTGAATGTACAGTTTGGAGCGCCAGATTCTTTCGAGAACACTACCCGAGGCCTGCTTGGTATGTTAATTACTTTCTGGTAATTAACATAAAATATGAGACTTAATTTACATAATTTATACAGGTCTTCGGTTTAAGAGAAAATTATAATAATTTTTGTGATCCTATCAATTGGCATATAGCTTCCTAACAAGTAAGGAATTTTCTGAATTTCTAACCTGAAATTTCTATTGATCATTCTTACATGTACTTTCAACAGTTATTGCAGAAAATAACAGATTAAAACATGTTTTTCTGATGACATTATGTCAATCAGCAATATTTATTTCTGTCCACAAAAAGTCATCTCATTTAGCCTTACAAGTTACAACCCCAACTAAATGTACGCATGGTAAACTTTCCAGTTAGAATGGACTGATATCATGATGATTGTTAAATTTTGTATATTCCAAGGTGTTTGGAACGACAACATTCTGGATGACTTCACCTATCCAAACGGCACGGTACTGCAGGCTCCTGATGGCAGGAATCTGACAGAGGAAGAAATCTTCCCCTGGGGCTTATCATGTAAGTAACGTGGTCTTAATTATGATAACTTAATTATTGACTAATGATAAATGAAAAAAATGATTCTCACAAAATTGTGTACAATGTATATATCAACAAATACCACTGTAAACTATGTATACATTTGTAATTGTATCAAGTATCCTTTTTTACCCCACAGTTGAAAGTTGATTGACTGTGTAATATTTTATACAGTCTAAAACAGTTATAATCTCACTCAATGGTATAGAAAAAATACCTACAAAAATGTATTCTGACCTTTTTTGGATAATGTGTCGAGAAATGTCCTTTATATTTGTAGAGAAATGTTCTTTCTGTAATATGCCAGGTCATTCCACGCAAAAGCTAAATGTGTTTTTTAACAGACATTAAGTCTTCAATTTCCTATTTTTTTTTTGTTTGCAGGGCAAATCAGCCAAGACGAAAGTCTTTTCACCTACAAGGATGGAGAAAGCACAAGTTCCTTCGCCAGGCCAGATTTTAGACCAAAGTTCCTGGGAGAGCTACGAGCTTCTGTCACTGACGAAAAACGAGCTGAAGCCGAAGCTCTATGTGACACAAATGTAGAATGTCTCTTTGACTTTCTCAGCACAAATGACACAGAAGTGGGGGAACAAACCAAATCAAGTATTGCGACTTTCGAGTCAGATGCAGAGACACTGGGTAAGTCTATTGCACACTTTGGAAAGCTAGTAGGTTTTACTGTTTACCTCCATGAAAAATGGATGAAAAATGGAGGTCCGTACCGTTTTTGGTGTGTCTGCGTGTTTCTGGGTGTGTCAGTGTATGTGTCTGTGTTTCTGCATGGCCCTTATAATGTATGTAGATCAGGTTGTAATGGTGGGGTTCAGTCTAATAGTGTCTCAATGTTTTCACTGTTTTTTTTTTCATTACATGACCTCCTTAATAGGTGACAGCTGATATTTCCCTTGTTCAATAAAGACTTGACACCATGGTGGTGAATGAGAACAGGACACAGTCACCATCACATAAGATCTAAATATTTCGTGGAGGTCTGAGATCTCCGAATTCTTGTTTATCATGGACTTTTGCAAAAGCAAATGTCATTCACAAGTTATCAACTGTAAGAAAAACACATAGATGAAACAAAGCATTGTAGCACTTTGTATTTACTACTAAACATAATCATCACATTTCTGTCTTGCAGCTAACTTTCCACCTAACATCACAACCAATGCCACCGTGAATGGAATAGTTAATCGGGAGGTGGAACTACAGGTCATTGCTGTTGACCCTGAGAACAATCCTGTGACGTATTCCATCGGCAACGTCAGCAACATTCCTGGAGCAACCATCAACCCCGGTACGTATGCTGTCCAATATCTGATATTTTTTTTTTCATATTTAATATATAGAATTTGCTTTCTGACTTTTTTGTGAAGATCTATCAAACTGTCAAAACCTGTTGATGTTAAGACATTCATTTGTATTTCCTTTGCATTGGAACCAGTTTGAGTGGCCTATCTTGAAATTTTAAGTAATAATAATTACATTTGGGTACAGAAGTATTGTTTTGGGTGGCCCAGTTTTAGGTTTGTGTGTCTGTATGTCAAGAATAGGTTGACAGCATGTGGATGGGTGATAGAAAGATTGACAGGTAGAATGACAGGAGCTCCAAGGCTTAGGGAGGGCACATTCAGTACCAAGGACAGGGATAGTACCTCACTAGGACACAGAAAATGTCTATGGCTGGCTGGAAGTCAGCAATGATTTAAGACCCTTAGGATTGTGCAAGGGACCTAGCCTCTACCAGGCTTGCTGAGGTGGTTGGAAAGAGTAAAAAAGTTGGCCATATAGAGAGATAACATGCCAAGCGGAGTTGGTCCGGTAGAGAGTACAGTTTTCAAAACCTCTTCAGTGGACCAAGGAGGTTAAATGATAATGTATTTAATAACTTCCTTGAATGGACCAACTCCCCTGGCATGTTATCTCTATTTGGGCAATGTCTAATCTTTCCCGCCGCCTTCCAAAGCCTGGTAGAGGCTACGAGGGACCCTCCAATACTTGTCGAAGTATATGATTTCTTGTGATGTTTTTTTTTTAGTTGATGGTATCTTGACATGGACTCCCAACAATCTACTGCCAGTTCAACTAGAGATCGTCGCCAAAGATGACAAAGGTGCTTCTTCGTCAACCTACCCCATGGTCAAACTCTGCAATTGTCAAAATGGTGGAACCTGCAACTTTGTCACTGTGGACTTCACTGGAGAGATCAACCCAGTGGGCGGGTTTCAGGTCTGTCTGGATATACATGGGTTTAGCATGAGAAGACTTTGTTGAAAATAAATTATGCTTCTCTTTTGTGCCATACAGTGTGCAAATTGGGAAATACATTAAAGAATGTTAAAATCTTAGAGACTGCATGCTATAGAATAGCTAAACCTCTTAGACTAGTGTTGCTGCTGACATATATTCTGTATGCATTTTGCTGCATATATTCTGTATCTGAATCTAATATTCTAAATCTGTAAAATCTTTTGGGTTGGTGGAAAAAGCAGTCCAGTCCCATTTGGGGGTGGAAATAGCAATCCGGTCATTTCTGTGTGTATACATTAGTGTCTAATGTATTACCAAATGTCATTTCACCACTGTCATCTTTTCTCCTTCATGTTATTCCACAGGTTGTTTCCTGCTTGTGTCCTGAAGCCTATACAGGAGAGTTTTGTGAGACTGATAAGGATGAGTGTGAGGAGGACCCGTGTTATCCAGGTGTGGTCTGTACAGATAGGGTTGCACCTGAGGATGGCTTCGACTGTGGACCTTGTCCTAATGGTCTGGATGGAACTGGGGAGAAATGTTTTGGTAAGTTTCTTTCTGTGTGTGTTACCTACGATGGTCCATAGCATCCCATTGCCAATAGTACTGCTTTTTATGTGGACCCCTGAAAAACATAGCATGTATATATAATTATACAATATGTTGCATACATCTAGCACGATCATTTGAAATTGCGCAAATATCTAGTATACTGTCTACATGTAGCTCTTGATAGTTATTCTATTTCCATTTTCTTTTTTCATATCTTAGTGGCCAAAGATATTGGAATTTAGAAAGTTATTGTCCTGGTAAAAAGTTAATAAAAAGTTCACCATATCCATTCAGTGATAAGGGTATCTACAAACATGTAAAAGCAAACGATCGTAATATTGCAGTGCCAATTACAGTATTTTTTTGCAAAATTCCTGTCATTCCAGAAATGCATGTACATGTATGTGGAGGGGCACTTGACACTTCAATTGAATGGTGTTTGCATGATTGTGCCTAATAATTAATGTTGTATTTCATTTGGCAGATGTGAATGAGTGTGTGCAGGGACAGCTATGTGAACAGCCCCATAACTGTGAGAACACCCGAGGCAGTTACACCTGTGGCTGTGATCCTGGGTACACACTGGACAGCAATGGCCTCAACTGTACTGGTAAGTCACATACTTGTATCATAATTACATTACAATACGTCAATCAAAATCCTTTTTTCCTGCGTACATGTATCTGTAGTTTGGTAGTAACAGTCTATGCAGCAAATCAAAACTTACAATGTAGGTGTACATACTGGTAAATGAATGATTATATAAACCCAGTACATGGACCAGTGCAAGTAGACATCAGAAATACCTGCACAGCTCCAGTTTTACCTGGCTGAAACCTGTATAAGGTATTCTTTCAAGCCCTGAAATGTATTAGAGCAATGTTATAATTGTAGTCTACCAAACTATAAAAGAGATCTTTGCAACAGAACTTTGTTGCAGCGAAACTGTCATCTAGTCCTAATTTTGTCAGGGAGCAATACTACGTAAAATTGTGTCTCCTTTTTTTTCTCTAGATATTGACGAGTGCAACCTGGACACAGATGACTGTGCAGATGAGGCAACATGTACCAACACAGAGGGTGGCTTCACCTGTACCTGTAATACTGGGTATGCTGGCAATGGTACCCACTGTGCAGGTGATCTACCTAATACCTTTTCTACACCATTTCCTCCTAAAGCATGACTAATTTCATCAGCTTTTTTTTAAATCCAATTTTAATGTCATTTTTCCCTGAAACGGGGTTAGACGTCCAAGGGCACAACGTCTGGGTGCATGTCCAGACATGTCGGGGTCCAACCCTGGGGATTGAACCTGGGTCTCCTTGCTTGACAGTCCGATGCTCTACCACTACACCACACAGACGCCTTCTCTTGAAGCTTGTCAAGATACTGTATTAAGACTGAAACATTGAAAGTGAAAACTACTTGTTGTTGAATAATGTACACGATTTGTCCCAATGTAAGAAATCTATTTCATATAAAAATTTAATGAGAGCTAAATCGCTTTATGTGTAAGCATTATTATTGTATTCATCATGATTATTCCTTTACTATCCTTTGTTTCAGATGTTGATGAATGTACGCTGAGTGCATCCTGTGATAGCAATGCAGTATGCAACAACACTATCGGATCCTACACATGTGCATGCAAGACTGGCTATGAAGGTAGTGGGCGCCAATGTGAGGGTAAGTTGTATTTGTTGCCTTCGTCAGAAGGGTATGATTTCGGTTTGAGCCTAGTTGAGTAGGAGTATCTACATGTAGGTTGTGTGTTGACCTAAATGTGTTTTACAGATTGCGCCTGTACACAACTGCATAAGCAAGTAAGGGGCTCAAATGGTGGGGTAGTCCCAAAGTAGCTCTGGAGTTACCGGACAAGACTACACCACCATAACATAATAACTTAAAAGGTTAAAAATAAAAACAGTATTTTTGACATGGTGAAGGCATGTGTTCCTCGAATTCTATTCGGTAAATGATATCCTTCCAAAACTGAAAGGTCTTTTAAGAAAATCTTATTAGAAATCAAGACTCAGTTGGATGGATTTTGTAGGACTTCTATCATGTAACCCATTTGTCATTATATTTTGTCTGACCCTGAGCTTATCCCTCATAACGTCAATGTAAAGCAGGCAGCAGGCCCATTTGAGTATTACATGAATAAACAAAAATTGTTACAAAATGTCTCTACTTTGTTTGTCTTTTCCCATGGCAGACAAAGATGAGTGTGTGGACCCTGGCACCTGCCACACAAATGCAAGATGTACCAACTCCATCGGATCCTTCAGCTGTAGCTGCAACTCTGGTTACCGTGGTGACGGGTCAGTCTGCACCAATGTGGATGAGTGTGCGGAGTTACTGGACAACTGCCGTCGGGGGCTAGGGATCTGTACGGACAACCCTGGGTCTTACAGCTGCGCATGTAGGGATGGATATGTGGGAGATGGGATCACATGTCAAGGTTTGTCACAATTTCAGTGTAACTTAGGGATGGATAGTGTATGGATAACCCTGGGTCATACAGCTGTGCGTGTAGGGACGGATATGTCGGAGATGGGATCACGTGCCAAGGTTTGTTACTTGAAAGTACACCTGGTGATTGTTCAGCGTAACATATGAAGCTACCTGCCACCACTTTGCGTGTTACGCTAAAGGGTGCTTATATCAGTTACTAGTGCTACTATACAGATGTACAGAAGCTGGTGTGTTATGCCAAAGGGCTGTTATGCCCCAGTCATTCCTGTTTATAGCGTTTGAAATTTGTGAACAGTTTACCATTAGTTAAAAAAACACTCTTTGAGTAACTGTCACCAAATGCTTTCTCTGCATAACAGTATTCACTTGCAAAAGGCATTGCTTCCACGAAATGCGACTGTTGTTGTTGTCATACGTGTATTTGAAGAACACTTGTTATGTTCATTTTATTGTTACTATATATATGCGAACCAATAAACAAACAAACAAACTTGGTTAGACTAACAAAGGGTATTGAAGGCATGTTGTTTTATAAGCAAAATTGATAATAATACCGATATCTAGGTATCTAACTTACTTGATGTTGACTCTTCAGATCTTGACGAGTGTTCAGATGATGCTCTGAACAGCTGCACTGAGAACGCGGATTGCACCAATACGGAGGGCTCTTATAACTGTCTGTGTACAGAGGGGTATGAAGGGAACGGTACAGTTAGTTGCACAGGTAAGTTAGGGGGATTCAATTCCTTTCTAACATTTTGATAAGCATGGCAATTTCCGATACTGGTATTCTGCGCAGTAATGACATCGTATGGCCGAAGGGATAGAATAGTGGGCACGAGATCGAGAGATCATGGGTTCGATTCCTGCGAATAATGGTGGGACGTTGTGTCCTTGGAAAAGGCACTTTTCTCAGTACACCCAGGGGAAAATGGGTACCTGACTTATATTGGGGAGAAAAAGGCATAGGTAAAGGAGAGGGATGGGCTCCACCTTCCAATACCGTGCCCTAGACACTGTAGATTTCACAACCCTTTTTGCCCCTACAGCCTCAAAAACAGGGCCTATTATTATGGGACTGTAATATAGTGTCTAGTCCACTGGTTCAATAATAGAAAACTTTCTTTCAACTGTCTCATGCAGATGTGAACGAGTGTACAAGGGCTGTAGATAACTGTGCAGAAAATGCAACCTGCACCAACACCCCAGGATCTTACACCTGTAGGTGTGACCAAGGATTCGCTGGAAACGGGATTCAATGTGAAGGTAATAATAAACAGTTTACATTTTTCTTGGTAGATAAAATGTCAGAAAAATAGATTGCATACATATCTATTAAAAAGAAATTGTTTTAGCAATTATTACACATAGTTCTTTTAAAAAGATTCTTGGTTAGTAACATGACATTCTATATATTATTATTAACATTTAGTCTACTGGTCAAATTTCAGAATTGCCAGTAGCAAGATGAATTATAAAATGTATGGTCAACGTATGGTCAATGTATAATTTGATAGGGAACAGGAAGGAATCAATGGTATACCTGCCATTTTAATTTTGCCTATTTGTGCATAATATAAGCATATTAAATGAAAGTCCATCATTCTGTATATATATATAATTTATGAAGCCAGAATTATCAACTTAATGTTTGATTTTTTTTATAACTGAATGTTAAGTTGATGAATGGATGATCTTGTTGCTGCAGATATTGATGAATGTCTAAGGGGAGAAGATGACTGTGACATTGACACAAAAGCCGTCTGTACAAATCTGATTGGAAGCTTCAGTTGTGCATGCTACAATGGGTACCAAGGGGACGGTAGGCACTGCACAGGTAGGGACACACCCTACAAGTTTTCATCAAAAGCTCTTTCTCATTTTCTGAAACAGTACACAATGTATAGGTGGTTCTTAAATTGTACCAATGGAATCTTAATCATACTTGACTACATCAAATTTTAAAGGTGTCCAATGCAGCTTTTAGGGGTTGAAAACATATTCCATAAGTCATTATTCTTGTCACATACCTACATGCTAACTTGAAACAACACTCTCCTATATATGCTGACCTTCATGGAGCACAAATGCACAAAAACTGTGACAAGAAATTGTTACTGGTTGGATTATTGGGCTGATTTTTGGGGTACCATCCAGAAAATAAAGGCACACCTTGGGACTTGTTTGTGCACTGTTTTAAACACCAGAAGTATGGAAAGTATACAAATGTGCTTATTTGGGGCAGTATGTATCAATATCATACAGATTTCCTTCAGAACATTTAAATTTTGCTGCCCAGAAATTGCATTGGATGCCTGTAACAAGTATTGCAGGCTCTGTCCTTGGTGCTGAAACATTGGTTAAATGTTGTGCAATCACCGGAAAGTTCCTTTTTTTGCCAACAAAAAACAGTTGTATTCAGTTTAAAGTCTCTGCTTGTAAGTTGCATGTCTGTAAGAGTACACATACAGGTAAGTTAAGTCTGATGATGATTTAGATTTTGACTGTATTTGTACCTGTTGAGAATATTCCATTTTTTTTGCCCAGAAACTGTTTATTATTTCCCGAAAAAGCAGATACAATGTAATTCCTCTACTGTAAACATAGGGGTCTAAAGGATTTTAGGAAAAATGCAAATTTTAAAATGAACGTCGTCAGAAAAATGCTACATTACAATTTGATTCTCTTACCGTTTCATCTACAGATATAGATGAGTGCCTGACTGTCAATGGCAATTGCGCTGCCAACTGCAACAACACAGAGGGAAGTTATTTCTGTACCTGTGGGAATGGATACAGACTGGCTGTCGATGGTTTCAACTGTGATGGTAAAATGTTTAACATCCGTTTGTACTTTTTACTGTTCAAGCAACAAACACATGGATTAGTGGCCACAGTAGTAAGTTTGCAAACTTACTGACATCTGCACTATAATGACATCAGCTTGGTCAGATGTTGACCCCACAAGTGTTGCTCAAATACTTCTATATTATACATATTGTTGATGTTTTTCATATCAATCATATATCTACCACGGTGACCATAACTTTTCGTTGGGCTTCTGGATGAAGATTATTATCTAAAATACAAAATGACAGTGAAAGGGCATACAATAGGTGAACATTATATAAGCTTAATGTAATATTGCAAGTGCATGTAGTTAGTGACTTTTTGCAAGTTGACATTTCTGATCCTGCCAAATCTATTGCTATAGATGTCGATGAATGTGTAGAACAACTGGATGACTGTGAACAAGTCTGCACCAACACAGACGGTGGATTCAACTGCTCCTGCGCTCTTGGATTCATTCAAGTTGGGGACTCCTGTCGAGGTCAGAAGCACAATATTTCTCTGAAACTTCCTTAAAGCTCCCGACCCTATTATACAGAAGACTACGAGGAGATCTCATTAACACTTATTAGTATGTCCATGGCCTGTACGATATGGTTCCATGTATACCAGAGATACAAAGGGGGTCCAATACAAGAGGTCATAACCTGAGACTAAGGAGGGAGAGAAATAACACAACTCAAAGGTTACTATTCTTCAGTAACAGAATCGTTCCTTGGTGGAATGCACTACCGGAGGCCGTTGTAAACGCTCCATTAGTGAATTCATTCAAAGCAAGGTTCGACAAACATATGGAGCATCCCCCTTTTAGATACAATTTCAAGATACTGGATCATCCACAGAAACGACGATGATCAACTAGAGGGGAAAGTCAACAGGAGCAGCCTCAACTGGACTGATGTCCTACCTGGCCGTAGATGCTACTCTACTCTTAAAGATGATACAAAAAATTTGGGATGTTAATGTAACAAGAATCAGTAGCACATTTTCAGTAAGGATATTTGGTACCAAATTTGGATGATTGTCCATTCATATCATCCCAATAGACAGTACAGTAGGGTCAAGATACTACACCCTACACCACTGTGTTTAGTCCATATAATGTGATGAACCTACAATTTTTTTCAGCTTCTGAAAACTGCACCAGGACTGTTTGCACAAATGCAGACTGCTTTGTGCAGAATGGGACTGAGAGGTGCCTGTGCTTTTCTGGCTACAATGTCACCAACAATGCCACAGTTTGCACTGGTAAGCAGGGTGATAGCTTTTCAGTACCAAGGAGAGTATCCCATCTTTGTAATGATAAAGGTTATGTAGAAGAAGAATTGGAGCAATGTTTAGTGTTTATTGTTTCAAAAAACAAGCAAATGAGCAAGTGTCATGTGCGTAGAGGTGCGTTGTAATATTATATATTTTGTTTGTACATTTAGACATTGTGATACATTTTAAATGCTTGAATGATGTGAAATTGAAAATTTGTCTTACTTCTGTTATTTTTTTATGTTATCTAGTACGCTGAATAATATAGGTGCATGGAAATGATACAGATACGTATGAAATTAAGCACTTTTTCTTATTTTAGACATTGATGAATGTTCAAGTGGAACCCTGAATGCCTGTGACCAGTTGTGTAACAACACAGATGGAGGATATACATGTGACTGCAACAGTGGCTACATGCTTGGTTCTGATGGTCGAACATGTACTGGTAAGTACTTACATGGCAACATTCCCCAATATCCAAATGACAAGAACTGAAATTGTATTTTGTAATTTTTTTCAATGTTGCTCATAAGGGTTTACTACATTTTCTGTGTAAGGAATCACTGCAGACAGTTGGGGAAAGGCTCCTTTTTTTATATATGTATATTCTAAGATGTAATCAAAAGACGTAGTGACGGCACACTCAAGTTTTTTCAACTTATATTAGTGCCGTCACCAGGACACGGGACAATACAATACTCATTTTCACCTGAGCGAAGTGAGAAAAGTCGTGTGAAGTACCTTTCCCAAGGGCACAAGATCGGTGGCATGTCATCAGGACTCGAACCCTGGACCTCTTGGTTCCAAGTTGAGCACTCTGCCACTACGCCACACGACCCCACTCTAGCATCTACATCACACGACCCCACTAGGCTTCTTTCTCTTTCTCATTACCAGTTCAGCAGTAATTTCTTTTCAACTTTTGACAGATGTTGACGAGTGTGCAGACAATAGTCTGAATGACTGTGACCCCAACGCCCTCTGCAACAACAACGATGGAGGATTCACCTGTAGCTGCAGACAGGGCTATACTGGCAATGGGACATTCTGCGAAGGTACGTAAACATTTCCAAAGCATTATACGTACAAGCGACTGGTGCAATGGCAAAGTGGGTAGAGTGCTTGCCTTGCATTCGGTAGGTTGTGAGTTCGATCCCCGGCCGAGTCATACACTGTACTGAAGACTTTAAAAATGGTACATACTGCTTTCTCTGCTTAGCATTTGGCATTTGGGAAAGAGTATGGAAGTTGAACACACAGCACTACCCGTGGACTAGCACCCTGATGCAGTGATTGCACAATTGACCCAAGAACTACTGAACCGGAAATGGGTGCCGTTCTACTTCTACTTATCTAATTTAACTTCATGTTTCTAATGTGTAACAGAGTTTCACGTTCCACCCAGTTGGTTTGAAAATGTGTTAACTGCAAGCATCATGTCTTCTATACTGTTCAAAGATGATATAGTTTGTCATGTATTGATGTCCTCACAGACATCGATGAGTGCACATTTGGCAGTCAGACCCAGAACTGCAGTGAGGATGCCCGGTGTGTCAACTTCGACGGCGAGTTCAACTGCACCTGTCAGGACGGGTATACTGGAGATGGCTTCTTCTGTGCCGGTAAGGTCTTCTCTGCTTCTTCCCTTCATTTCTGACTAAACTAAGGAAGTGTTGCGACATGTGTTTACACCCACTCATGTTGAAAGCGTAGAAAAACTATACACATGACTAGACACATCTAAATATGACGTTCTGTCTGGCAAAAATAGATAGCATGCAACTGCAGCTAAAAATCAACAGCTTTCTGCAAAAATTTCAAACATTTTGAAACACACAACTACATACAATTACATGAAATATGACATTCTGCCTGATGGAAATAGATGTAAAATAATAATAATAAGAAGGTCTCCCGTGCTCTTGCCCGAGCGTAGGGTGGTGCCCATCTCCATTTTGTAGCCCTTGGGCGACACAATTGTGCAATGCACTACAGCAGGGGGCTAGTCCGCTGGTAGTGCTGTGTGTTTGACCTTCCCACACTCTTTCTCATATGTGCTGAGTGCTAAGCAGAGAAAGAAGTGTGTACCATTTTTAAAGTCTTTGGTATGACCCGACCAGGGTTTGAACTCACGACCTCCCGGTTACAAAGCGAGCACTCTACCAGTTGAGCTACCAGTGCAATAGATGTAAAAGGCAGATCCGAATTTCCGAATTAATATGTTTGCTGTTGTTTTCAATAGATGTGGATGAGTGCTCTGATGGTTCATCAAACTGCCATGATCAAGCGATATGCACAAATGTCGTGGGCAGCTTTGAATGTACCTGCAAACCTGGGTACAATGGCACTGGAACAGTATGTGAAGGTACATAAAATACGTTAGTCAACTTCCAGTTACAGGTGCATGGCACTTTTAGTGAGGTTTCTGTCAAAGAGTATTTTGGAAATGTAAGTAGCTTTGCAATCAAATTCATCCTGATAAGTGTAGTTAAACCATTATATCATTGGATGACATGATATTATTGATATGGTTTCGTTGCTGTCTCTTATTAAAGATCTATGGGTACAATGTAGGTCCATAATCATATGGCTGTATATGATCTGTTTGCAATGCCTAACTTTCTTCATAATGAGTTATCGTTAATTCCAAAACATTTCATTAAGGTTTACCAACATGAGTGTTCTGTTTACATTGTATATTACTGAGTACTGCAATTATTTCTTTCCTGTATCAGACATTGATGAATGTAGAAACAGAACAACATGTGATGAAAATGCAAATTGCACCAACACTGCTGGCTCCTACACCTGCACATGTAATGATGGGTACACTGGTACAGGGAGAACCTGTACAGGTAAGTGATCCTCATCTACAATGTTTTATGCATGAACTTGAAATGAAAAAGAGGGAAACCAATTGTGTTGACTAGTTTCTGACAAAAAATGTTTCTTGAAAAACAGCTCTACGGTATGCAAACACGAGTATGCTGACATGTCTCACTTTTTTGTTATCACTGTAGTATCTAGTATCTTCTAGACAGGATGACACGACATAGATTTCTTTCAAATTACAATTGGATTCATCTATTGTCTTCTTAGCTTATGAAACCTTTTGTCTTGCTGACAAAAATGGTAATGGAATAAATCAGTGTTTAACTGTTTACATTGAATGCTATCATGTCAGTATCAGTTGAATTATAAATGTTAAAAAAAGACACTTTGCTCCCAGATGTGGACGAGTGTTTAAGTGGACAGGATGACTGTCATGATCTGGCATCATGCAGCAACACAGAGGGCAGCTATGTATGCACCTGCAATGATGGTTATATTGGCAATGGGACGTACTGCGAAGGTAGGCCAGGGCTTGTACAATGTATTTCTCATGCATTAGAAAGTTTCTGAAGATAACATAAACTCAGCCACATGCTTATGATTTGTTGCAAATAGCAGCAACTCCACACTTTTCATCAAATCTTCCAAAGTTTTATATGGCTGAAAAAATATGTAGAGTATGGATTCAAATTGCAACTTAACTACCACTAAAATACATGTACAACAAAATTATGATGTTACACGTTTTACCACTCCCGAAAGATTAATTAGCCATCCATGTTTGCAAACGATAGCACATACAGAAAAGCCTTTCGTTGGCAAAAAACGCTAATGACACTGATGCTAATGACTCCCTTTGCTTACCCTTTATCGATCAGATGAAGATGAGTGTACACAAGACCCAGACTCCTGCACAGAAAACTCTGTGTGTACGAACACCGTTGGTTCCTTCACTTGTCCCTGTAAATCTGGTTACATCGGTGGTAACTGTGTGGATGTTCGTGAGTGTGAAGAGGACATTGACACCTGTGACGACAATGCTGACTGTACGAACACACCTGGCTCCTTCAACTGCACCTGTCATTCTGGGTACCAGGGAAATGGAACTGTCTGTACAGGTGAGACAATTTTTTAATGATGATACAACATTGGCCGGGAATACCTGTGAGGTGTCAAAAACAATGGCGAACGTTCTAATAACAGTTGATACGATTCAAGTGGGGAATGGATAAGCATTTAACTTTAGGGTGTTTAGGTTTAACTATTGTGCCGGAAATCTTTAACCAAGTTTGAACGTATCATCGTCATAAGGAGTGTTGTGTTTAAGTGACTGATTTTCTTTTTTAACAGATATTAATGAATGTGTTGAAAGTGGAACGCATCAGTGTGATGGAAATGCAAATTGCACCAACACTGCTGGCTCCTACACTTGTACATGTAATGATGGTTACGAAGGTACAGGGAGAACTTGTACAGGTAAACAATCCTTACATCATTCTGAAATCATGACTGATTCTTTGTTTTATGTAATAATACATATTGTATTCACACACATGTACTCTGAGCATTGGTCAGACGTTTATAATGCATTTCTATCTAGACCCTTTCCTCATATGTACAAATAAAAGTAACATCAACAAAAATAAGGTGGCAACAGTAATAAAAAAAATTTAACATCACAATCGGGTCAAGAAAAACGAGCCTTGTTATATATACTTGATATCTATCTATGATTTGCAGAGGATTCTTGACGATATTACACATGTAAGTCTATTACAGACACAGCTATTGTCAAATGAACATGACACGGATACTAATGACTAAACTGCTTGTCATTCCTCAGATTTAGATGAGTGTGTGACCAACACTGACAACTGTGATGACAATGCTAACTGTACGAACACCCTGGGTTCCTTCAGCTGTACCTGTCATACTGGTTACATTGGAAATGGCATAGTTTGTACAGGTGAGACAAGTTCAGGCTTAAAGCTTATGTGATGAAGAGAATTTCCATATCTTGCAGGATTTGTACCTTATCTTGGATATTTTCATCTACTTAATATTAATTTTGTATCAGATCCTATAATTTACGTCAGAATTTCTGCACTTTTTGTGGGTCAGCATCACCAGCTAAGTCTGTCTGCACTGACCCAAGTATCATTTCCAATTGCTACAAAATAAATCATATTCAAAATTTAATACAATTTCCAAATTCTGTAAGCGGACAAAGGGTACCTTTCATATACAGCACAGTTTATAAAATCTTGGCGAAGATAGATAATCACAAAATGGAACAGAATATTAAATAGATTTTTTCATAATACATAGCAATTGCAGTGACAACAGAAAGCACAACAACTCCAATGTCACCAACAGAAAACACAACAACTGCAATGTCACCAACCGAAAACACTACAACTCCAATGTCACCAACAGAAAACACAACAACCCCAATGTCACCAACAGAAAATACAACAACCCCAATGTCACCAACAGAAAGAACAACAACTCCAATGTCACCAACAGAAAATACAACATCTCCAATGTCACCAACAGAAAACACAACAACTCCAATGTCACCAACAGAAAGAACAACAGCCCTAATGTCACCAACAGAAAATACAACAACCCCAATGTCACCAACAGAAAGAACAACAACTCCAATGTCACCAACAGAAAACACAACAACTCCAATGTCACCAACAGAAAGAACAACTCCAATGTCACCAACAGAAAGAACAACTCCAATGTCACCAACAGAAAATACAACAACTCCAATGTCACCAACAGAAAATGCAACAACCCCAATGTCACCAACAGAAAACACAACTCCAATGTCACCAACAGAAAGAACAACTCCAATGTCACCAACAGAAAACACAACAACCCAAATGTCACCAACAGAAAACACAACAACCCCAACGACTCCAACAGAAAACACAACATCTCCAATGTCACCAACAGAAAACACAACTCCAATGTCACCAACAGAAAGAACAACTCCAATGTCACCAACAGAAAATACAACAACCCCAATGTCACCAACAGAAAACACAACAACCTCAATGTCATCAACAGAAAACAAAACTCCAATGTCACCAACAGAAAACACAACAACTTCAATATCACCAACAGAAAGAACAACTCCAATGTCGACAACAGAAAGAACAACTCCAATGGCGACAACAGAAAGAACAACAACTGCAATGTCGACAACAGAAAGAACAACAACTCCAATGATGCCAACACAAACCACTGTTACGCCAGGGCGACGTGAGTCCATATACTTTATGATTTTTTATCATCTTCCTATTATTGTGAGCTTGTTTGGTAGGATTGGCAGTTATTTGTTACTCTTATAGATATTTTTATTTTAAGACTTTAATTTGTATACATACATGACTTTTGTATATTTAGGTGCACGAAGGTCAGTATATACAATGTAGATTATACAATGTACCAACTGATGTTATTTGTTTTACATAACAAATTTTTATTTCATAGCAAAACCTCAGAAGTTTGTACCAGCACAAATAACGATGGAGAGAGTGTTTAAGACTGAATACAACGACAGGACTTCACCAGAGTATAAGGACCTTGCAGAAAAGTTGACAATATCAGTGAGTGTTCAGAATGACCTTCTACCTTGTATACACTGTATCTGCATATGCACTTTTTCAGGTTGCCCAACCGCATACAAACAACGCAACATTAGTATACATTTCAAAGTCAACATACCCAGCAATACGTAAAAATTGACAAAACAGGCAGTTAAAAAAAGTTAAGCATAATCCAAATATTAATTTATGCAAAGAATACATCATATTGGAACAAGAGCTTAGTGAGGCCTTGATGCAATGCCAGAACTACTGAAACAGTAACACCCATGGAAAGTTGTCCAGGTACAATAATGTGTATATGGAAGATCAAGGACATTATTATACACATACACACTCTTGTACAATGTCTCTGGGAAGATCAAGATTGTAGTGTGTGTTGAATCTGTTCTTCAGTTAGTTTGTGTTTACAAAATGCTAAATTATAATTGTATTGCAGTCGTGGCCCATCAAATGTAATACATGTGAGACAATGAGTTGTGTGGTTTGTATCTAATGTTAAAAATAAAAAGCATGTATCTTTTGTCATCTCATTACCACCAGCTGACGCTTGTCTACTCTATAATTCCTGGTTTCGTCCAGATCATCATTATTCGATTCCTGTAAGTATGGGCGACATAACTGTACACTCATTTACTTATAATAAGCCTCAGTCTGAACATTATATACAATGTGTCCAGATATATGCCAAGGACTCAGCATTATCCAAGCTTACATTTTTATGTTTACCAAAGGAAAACATGTTGTTTTTGCTCTTTTTTCTTTTTTTTCTTCTTCTTCTCCAAACAAATAAGGTCAATGACCCGAAGCAGAACTCATGTTGCAATTTTATAGTATAGGAGGGATTTGGACTCCTGTCTGACCATATAAATGAATATGTTTGAGTAAGAATTAACAGAGGAGACCATATGCGAAGATAAACATTATGCATTTGCTTTGCAAATGTTACCTTTCTAGGTCTTGTCTCCTTACTAGACATCTAGTACCAGGTATCGAGTTAATGAAATTTACATCATTTTAGTGCAGCTATAACATGACTAGAACCATGACAGTGCTGAAACTTGGATGTCTAAACCTTGGTTAACAATATTTGACTGTACATTATGTTATTGCATATGCAATACAATTGTGGCTCAGCAGTCTTTACTTTCAATTCAATGATTCAGAAGCATCTCTGATAGCTAGTACATAGCTACTACCTCTAAGAACAACTTTAATCATTCATACTTGGCAAAGCAGACTAGTCATAACAAAGTGTGTTATAATTACATTTCTGTCTACCTTTAGCCGTGGCAGTGTTGACGCCAGATACACAGCTGTGTTCACCGTGGAAGGCTCCCAATCAGACAGCATCATCCTGGATACGGCAAAGACAAACCTTCAGCAGGCAGTCATGAATGGAACAAATTTTGACCCTACGCTCCAGGTCAATAGCAGTAGCCTGCAGCCGATTGTACTTACACCAGATGGTAGGTGTCATCGGGTTAGACCAGCACAAAACGTCCAACAACAGCTGTTATAATAATTAGTTTTTTTTTAAGATCAGCCACGTGCACATGGTAGGAATGTAATCTATTATCACAAAATGATTGTAATTGTATTCATACTTGTCTTCACAAACTTCACTCTTAAGATATTCTGTTATCCGTTTCAATATCATGTTAGTTAAATAAAAAATACTATGTGTATTTGGGATTTGTATTTTGTTTTTGGAGCTTTTATTAAAATTGACTAGTTCCTAGATTACTGTACAAAGAAGGAACAGGGAGAAATTCACTCAACAATTGTTGCCATCTGTCTATACATAGGGTGTTGTTGAATCTGTTGCAGATATTGACATTATCATTGAAGATGTGTGTGCAGATTTGGACTGTGGGGAGGGGGGCGTGTGTACACAGACTGAGCTGTATTCCGGAGCGGAGTGCCAATGTGAGGGAAACTACTGCAACACAGGGACCTGTGACTTCAATCTTGAAGAAGGACCAAAATGCACGTAAGCATCAAAACTACATTTCATTTTATATCCTCTCCTGAATACAAGAAAATTATTATAGTAAATCTGTTGCTGCATCTATTGCAGACAAACCTGTGCTGTGCAATGTGGACCAGTCAGAATTGCCTGGAGAAATGTGACATGCGGTCGCCAAAACGTCGGCTGAATCCAAGGGAGTCCTACTCTCCCAAAAATGTTAAGCTTAAATTTGGCTTATATTTTGGCCTGTGTTCGGGCGTTTTTATCCGGCTTTCTTAATTTCTACTGGTATCTTTTTTCGCTAGCTCAAAAGTCCTGCCATCATGACTATTTTTTAATGAGTTGAATTTTACATCGAGTTGCGTTTTGTCATCCTTTGTTGCACTGCGTTTTGCACTTGTGTTTTGCTGTGAAATACAGCTATGTTGAATGTTTGATCATAATTGCCTCTTGTTACAATGTGCAGCTGCCCGGCAGTGCAGGGTTCCTGGTACAGTGGGGAGAGATGTCAGATCCACTTGACCCAAGCGCACGTGATCGGTATTGCAGCAGGCTGCGTGTGTTTCCTGCTGGTGGTCGCCCTGCTGGTGGCTGTAGGTATGGCCAAAAGGTCCAGGCGTAGGGCAAAGAAAGGAAGAGAAGCGAGGTATGGTTAGCCCATCCTATCTGTTGTCTTGAGATGCCATGCACACAGGGCAACCTGGCATCTTGCATAGAAAACATGACTTGACACTGCTTCACTAGTGTGCGATTCGATCTTTAAATACAACTTAAAGCATGCGTAAAGTGTCTGTTTCTTCCCTGGAAGCGGAAAATGGAACATTTACCCATTCGTTAAGTTATGCTTAAAGATAGGATTTTTTAAATAAAGTGTTTGTATGTTAAATGGTGATTCTTAAGACCTTTCCATGAATAATGAAAGACATAAATGCCAGCAAAGCCTTAATTTTACCTTGTGTGTATTGTTAAGATCAAGCATACTGATTTAGAACTACTTTCCTATAGCTACTAAGTGACGTAGAAATAGTTCATATCTACTGTATATAGCAATCTGGCTATTAAGTACATATCGGTTACCTCTGTTATTGACAGTACATGTACAATGCTTTCTAAACATGATTTTATTAGGTACTGGGCTTATGTAAAACGTGACAATTTCTTGTAGGTACAGGATCGATAGAGCTCCAGTCACCCTAGCCAACATCTACACATCCAGGTCTGACGCGTGGCAGCCGGTCCGTGGCCTTCCAGTCACTGACCTGGGGGGAGACCAGGACGACTACCTTCCACCTTTGGTATGTACATTTCTATACACATTTGAGCTTTTGCAATTGTGAGCATAGTTACAAGCAACTACTCTCTGTTATGCAGAATACAACACTCTGTACAATAACATTTAATAAAAGTTTATACATAGGAAACATACAGTGTAGTCATTTCAGTAGCAGTCCCCCAGGCATGTATTCTTATTTGTACAGTGACAAATGTCATTTGAGGTTGGCAATATGTGAACAGCTATAGAAATAATCAAAACATTGATAAACAACTCAAGGAAATGTGCGTAAATGTTATGGTTTCTTTGAGTGATGTTCAATGTCTGTCACCATGGACAGCTTTGGTAATTACAACAATTATGAATTGTTAATTGCCATATTTCTGACCAATAGCGCTCTTGTTGATGATTATTTTTTAGCCAATAGATGCTGACATGTTGCCACCTATCTACACGGACTCCCTAAGAGCCAGAGGAAGGCCCTTCTGGAACCCCAGTGTTGAGAATATACCGTCGGGAGAGGTAGGATTTCTTCTGCTTCAGTCAACCGGGCTATTTTAGGGGCCGAAATCGATAGATAAAGATGACAATAGTCTACTGTATATTCGTTCCTATTCCTCTTATTTTATTTCATTTTTTTTGCCAGAAGACGATGATACGATACCTACAATAAAGTATTTTTTCCAAAAGCCTGGTTACCAAAGTTTGACCTATTTTAGCTCAAATATTTGCGGAAAGGATAAAAGACAAAACAGTTTAGTAACCAGGCTGCAAAAGACTACGCTACCTGTACCAGCTTTCGTAGTCTTTTGGCATGTTTTCCATTTTCTATATCATTCTTTGACTGTGCTGCCTTCTTTTTCTATTTTCATCAATTTCAGTTCAAGATCCCGCGCCCTACTGTGAAGACTACAGTTCTTCCTAAAGACGATGAAAGTGAACGCTTTGTCCAGGTGGGTTATATCTTTTTGCACCCCAAAGTCGTGAAGTGTTATTATGCCATGATACTCGAGGGTCCAGCCGCTATAACAGGTGTTACGGGCGGGGATCATTAACTTACTGCCGCGGGTTGGGACGTAGCAGACCGCACACGGGACGTCGAAATAATAATAATCATTCTTTTATTTCTAAAGCTAACTTTGTTTCTAATAGTGTGTATGAACAGTCTTGTTACATTTATTTTGTATAACCACCGAGTTCTAAAAATTGGTTACTTTTCCTTTTTTTTCAAGACGTTTGAGTTCAAGTTTTGAATATAAGGAACTGCCAGCAGGGACTGTGGCAATTGCAACATGCGACAAACGAACAGCTCTATGGTTATGAGCCATTCTTGCAAAACCTGCTTGTATATAGTAGAAAGCTAGTCCACGATTTGAACTGCGCATGAACAGTGATGCATTGTGGGTAATACTAGTATGTCAAGGTTCAAGGCTACTGACATAACAGCATAAGACAGCACAAAGAGTTTTAACGTGTATTCATGCGCAATTAAGACCTTTAAGCTTTTTACAAATAGAACAGGCCTGGGATAATGTCAATATAGCTACTAACCTTTAACTGAAGATAAACATTAAAACACTAAACATGCGTTTTTGATGCAACAATAGTAAAGATTTGGTAAAAGCAAGGACATAATGTCCTTAGTAAAAGGTAATAGTGAAAGAACATTTTATGTATAAATTGGGTTTGTAAAAAATGTATCATTAAACCATAGTACAACTATTTTAGCCCATAACTACTAAACTACTTATACATGTATGAGTGCGTGAGAATACAATATGTACCGCTGCTTTGTATAAATATTTTTTATTCATTAACAAACACATATGGTTAAAAAAAAAGCCATTTCGATGAAAGTCCAAGTCATGGATAAGAATAACCCCAAGTACAAAAGTACAGGGATACATTTTAATGTAATACAATAAATAAACATAGAATTAAATTACACTGAAGAGGTTGGTAACATATTTCATCAATCTACTTATGGAAGGAGTATGTAGGTAGTCAGATATTCTAAAATGATATTTGTTTTGTGGAGAATAAACAGTTATTATATTGTATCAATACATGGCTTTTTCATATCATGTTTTGTCCTAAATGTGGTTTATGTTGTCTTTAGACAGCTTGAATTCATTCACATACACACTACTTCTGTGTGTGAGACTTAACTTAATGACAAGGCTATTTCCAAATCACATTACACATTTAATACAAATGTTAGCTGTTTTGTAGCCCACATATCTGGGTTTTCTACTTACAGTTTTCAGTATGTCTAATTATGACATGCTCGTCTAAATGATACTTATGAGCAGCTGTATAGTCACACTTATCACATTTGTACGCTCTCTCACGTATATGTTTTCTCATATGTCGATACAAGTCTGCCTTTTTCGCCGTCTTGTATATACACTCTCCACATCTATACGGTTTCTCACAAGTATGTTTTATCATAACATGTTGGTCTATATGGCCTTTTTGGGTGGCAGTATAATCACACAGGTCACATTTGTAAGGTTTTTCACCTGTGTGTTTTCTCATATGTACAGAGAGGTGAGATTTAGAAACTGCTCTGTAGTCACACTCTATACACATGTAGGGTGTCTCCCCGGTATGTTTTATCATATGTTGAGTCAAGTTCGACTTGTTTGCTGTACTGTACCCACACTCCTCACACACATAGGGTTTCTCACCCGTGTGTTTAACCATGACGTGACGGTCTATGTTGCATTTCTGCGTGGCGGAATAGTCGCAGCGGTCACATTTGTACTGTTTTTCACCGGTATGTTTTCTCCTATGTCTAGAAAGGTGAGACTTATAAGCTGTCCTGTATCCGCAGTCCTGACATACGTATGGAGTCTCTGTAATGGATTTTCTTGCAAGTCTTTTCCCTTCTTCTGAGCGATCTTGTATGTGTGAATGTTGTTCTGATGAGACTCCCTCATCAAACTGGCCACAGTCTATGCCACACGTTTTATTGCAAAGAGCGTCTTTTTCTTGCTGCTGTCCCGTTTCTTTTGGCTCATCACTATAAGTCTTGTTCTCAGGGTTTCCATGAGGAAGGCCTTCAACTACAGGTACGTCGGTCGGCTGGTTCATTTCTTATAACTGTTTGGGAAATGGAAAAATGTTTGTTTAAAACCATTCTTTATCGTGATTAAAGCTCAAATTGGTCTGCAGGCCACTTTTCATTAAAATAGTTTACATCATTTAAAGTCATCATCATTTAAAGTCATAATGGTATAGTCATACTCATAAACATATTCTTACTAGTACATGTAAAAAACATGGTACAAAAAATATAGTATATTACATAAAGTGTGAGAGTTGGTAACGTTATATGATTTTTGGGTGGGGGTGGTTTTTAGTTAGCTAGCTTATGGTCGATAATAAAGCAGTAAATGATTTATTAGCCTGGGTGCCAGACAGCTCCTCGGCTCCATTGCCAACATACATGCGTAGGGCTTATAATATTATGTCTGGCATCCAGGCTACAAGTAGGCTATAGTATAATCGACTGTCTGTCAGCCCACGCCAATGTATATTTATGCATGGAAGGGCCTGGGAGGCAAAAACATCCGGTCCTATAAATACTAGCCTTCCTCGTCTAATGACTGGAAAGATAGGCCGCCAAAAAAGTCTAATCGGAGGTTAGGCCACACCAAGTAAATTTTATGGATGACGTCCTTTGGAGACCCTAAATCTAATGCGAGAGGGCGAAAAAAAAACAAGAAGGGCCTAAAAAACAAGATGCCTACATTAGAAATATACTATGAGACGACAAATGTTAGGACACAAATTGAATGAGGTGACACAGTGTAGCAAGTAAGAAGTCTTTTATTCATCATCAAAACAGCAATGAATCAGGTGGAACAGCAGTTGTCGTCCTGTCTTGTTTTCGCGTTACAGGTTTCACGTCAATCTGACGATTTGTGGCACTGTCGTGACTCTTTGTTCATAGTTACAGGAAGCGGAATTTCTTGTTTTTTTTCCAGGAACAGGCCAAAATCAATGCGCGCGTGGACGTCATCCATAAAATTTAATTGGTGTGGCCTTATGCTAGTCTTGGGCCGGCGAGACACCCTTGGAAGCCGGCCCGTGAAAAGATGGGTACCAGACTATTTTATCACGGTATAAACACGTTCAAATAAACACTAGCAGTGAACGAAGGCCTTACCTGCTGGTTTATGATGTTAGGAATTGATAGAATTCCTGGAATACGTTGAAATCCCGACATATTTACAAGATAATGTGCGAAACGATATCAAAATGGTGGGCGCACACAGAAGGCGGGTCAAAGGTCAAAGTTTATTAACCTGATGACCCACTTTAATGCGCAGTCAAACCACAGGTCCAGGTCAGCAATGAATTTCTATAAAAACGGTGACGGTTGGGTTATATCTGGGCTAGACGATAGTTAAGCAATTACGCTATATTTCCTTATTTTGATATTCATTTTTCTACATTTTTTTGCTTCATCCCTTTCCCAAAGTCATATTTGGATGAACCTACTGAATTTTTTGTTGACTTTCTTGTGATGTAGTATACAGAAGGTGCCCTTTACATGCATAACTTACTCCTGCATTCAGTAAAACTCACGATAAACATAACATATGGCAACATCTTTTATTCAGGTTTTGTGAGGATTTTCAGATTTTGTGACTTAATGGATTTAAAAACAGCATCGACAAGTACATCCAGATGGGAGCAACGAAGGGCTACACGCAGAGACTGAAGTCTCTTTAATTCAGGTAAATTCAGGTTAATTTATCGATAAAGACAACTGATAATGATAACCAATAAAGATGATGAGGATACTATAGCTACATTGCGCTCTACGCATTTGGTTACAGTGCAACTGTGTCTATAATTTACGAATGAAATACGTTAAAACTTTGAACAAATGAAAAGAGCATTTGATAGTTATTTAAAATACTAGTATAGCACGGCATAAGTTATATCATCATTGTGGCTTTGGAACAAACGCCATGTCATTTAGTCCATTCTGATCAATAAGTTACTAATCCATGACTTGGCTTCGATGACGAAGCTACTAACAACACTGTCAACAGTGAGTTTTCTCCTAGACTTTTGCTTAGATTTAATATAGGTCTTCTTTTTACTGTAATTTACTTGATGGCCTATATTGTCCATTCTGAAACGAATGGAACACTCGCCATTGGTGTTTTGTAAATAACAGCTACACATACTACAATATATATACATCCTGTTAGGTGTACAGCTCTTTTATGCTAAGTGTCATAAAGAAATTTTGTGTACAGTGAACATTGTCTCCATGTATTTCTACCTGTATTTGTATCAAACTTGCTTGTATATGAGGTCTTTTCTTGAACTGCAATATTAATGCGTACTCTATTTACACACTACATACACGCCTATCTTAACTTGAAAATATACATCGCAACGTAAATTACAATCAGCATCTACTTAACACAATTTCAAATTACAATTGAAATTGTACACATTATATAGAAGACAAAAGGACCGGTCAAGTCATGTAAATACGTCTAAAACCCAAATGTATCTTGAACAACTTTTCCATCATTCAGTTCCATAAATATTAATGTATACAGTATCAATTGCCTTACAGTATTTCACTCCCTTACTTGTCTTATATAGACATATTCCACATGCCGCATTGACACGTGCAAAAAAAATTAACTGCTACCGTATGGTAGTTGTTATTGGGTTGACAATTGCTACGTTATAGTACCCTGGGAGCCAGACGTCGACAGGATATTAGGCGGTTTAACAGCCTGTCCCTTCGCCAGGCGCCCGCCGATCTAAATTAAGGCTACGGGAGGATGTTAGCCCGAGGGACCACTCCCATGTAACACTCTCGAGTTCTTCCATAGAGTTTATTTAGATCAGCGGTCGCACTGCCTGCCCTAAGCCGCTAACGGCCGGCGCGTGCCCGATATCCCGTCTGGCTCCAGGGTAACGCCAGATCTACGTGCTCGTTGTTAGGCCACAGCAAGTAAATTTTATGGATGACATCCGACGCAGACACCAAATCTAATGCGATGGGGCGAAAAAAAAAAAAACAAGGCGGGCCAAAAAACAAGATTCTTACATTTTCAGATTTTCACTTCATAAACCTTAAAGAAGAAATTATACCTATATTGTGCTAAATTTACTGCCAACTGTTACATGTATACAATATTTATTTGGCACTAAAACAAGTTGAAAAATAAAAGTTTTTAATCCCTGTACAAATGGTATTGATTCAGTAGGAACATCACATATACATCAAATATAAAAGAAGTGAAATACATGACTATATCGAAGTAAAAGACAAAATAATAAATCAGAGCCTTGACTTGTCTCCTCTCATATCTATCTGCCATCCAGGTTCCTTCATGGCAACACAACAGAATCTTTGCCCATTTTCGGCATGTTGACCACTGTCAGAGAGCAAAAAATTTTCTTTTTTTTTTCTTTCCAAAATGTGCTGATGTCATCCATAAAAATTACTTGCTGTAGCCTCAGCAGACTAAACGAGTCAGAACCTATGTTGTGACTTGTCTCATAATGATTCAATGGCCATATGATTTTTTGTGTGATGTTTATCAAACTTACTTTTTAAAGATAAAGATAGCCTCCGACTGTTTACGCGTAGTTTTCAGATCATGTTTGGGCTTTGTAAGAGTTGCAGGGCTGGTTGCAGCTATATCAAAATAGCTGTCGGTCTCTTTCCTTGCTTTGGCTAGGAAAACAGGCAACTTTGGTGTAGTTATTCGATGATGTTTCGGATTGTCATTGGGGGTTATGTCAGTGGTTTGGTTTGATTTTGCAACACAAGGGGTCAAGCTTACGTCTTCAAATCTGACGCCCTTTAGACTCTCAGGGCTGGCACATTTGAAATTATAAACAAGAAAATTCAGGTAGAGCGGCTTTTTTCGGAAGGCTTCTGTGCAGGTGAAGGGGAAACACTCTTCAAAAGCACGAGCATCTTCAGCCAACCACGAGTTTCGGCAGTCACAGTGAAGCGGGTTACCGTATATGACATACGTGAAAATTCTGGAGCTGTTAAATAAAATTGTCTCAGGAATTGTTACTAGTTTATTATAGGCCACGTTTACATGAACGACATACTTTAAGTATTTGATAGCCAGGTCGAGCCTTACAGTGGACAACTGATTATACGATAAATCAAGTTTTACAAGGAACGGCGTACTCTTAAGAGATTCCCAGTTAAATGTGGTGATGAGGTTGTGACTGAAGTTCAGCACGTTGACAGACGTATATTTGGATAGGTCAGGGATGGAGACTATACTAATAGTTTAGTTTATTGACAACAATCCTTGTACATGGCAGCGTTTAAACCGCTGAATTGCGTACACAGGTTTAAAAACAATTAAACAATAAGGTGGGCTAAACAAACAAAGGACATTGACAAACTAGGTACAAACAACTTAAACAAATACTAGCTGTACGCAGTTATAAATTAGATATATAAGTGATTAAAAACAATATTGGTCCGGTACTGGGAGATTTCAACCTAGGTCTGCTTGTTTATTTAACAAATCAGTGAAATAGGGGATTGGGCTCGTTTTGTACCGCTTTGTTTTCGTCAAAGGGATGTCGAGTTGGTTTGCCCCCTTCAGGCATCTGCCATGGATGTCTGAGCGGGATGGGGGTAACCAATGTCGGAACGAAGGGGAGTTAAGGAGGGACTTTGCAAACTTAAGGCTAAGGGTTTCTCTTCTTTTCTCTAGGGACGGCAAACATAATTGGGACAGGGCGATGTTATAAGACGTGTACAGGGGGCCAAGGATTATCTTTACTGCTCGTTTTTGTATGCGTTCGATTTTTATTACTTGATGTACAGAGATACTTGAATTCCAGACTGGGGCCGCATATTCAAGGGTCGGGCGTATGTATCCTTGGTAGAAATCGCAAAGGTCTTGAACAGGGAGTCCGGAATGTTTCAGTTTCTTCAGCCAGAAAAGACGTGAGCTCCCCTTCTTTGTTATAATTTCAATATGTTTGTCCCATTTCAGGTCCCCCGAGAGCCATAAACCGAGAATACAGGCGGATTCGGTATATATAAGGGGCTTATTATGAAGTGTTATATTAGGGGGTGGGGGACAGTCTCTCATAAAGGAAAAGGTCATGAGCATACACTTCTCGTCATTTAGCTTCATGTCATTATTAATTGCCCAAGAGTCGAGTCGGTCCATAGATGATTGAATAAGGCTCGCTTCACAGAAAAGTCTGCTCTCGCATAACGACAGGTCATCTACGTATTTATAACGATTTAGAATGTCATCTTGTAAGGCGTCATTGACATATATAAGAAAAACGGTTGTATTGGAGATAGACTTTGGTTACCAAACGGGGTGGGTAGGTGGGGAGACTAGTAATGCCGGAATTCGGGCAGGTTATTTCGGTTATAGGCCCACTGATCGTGTAACAGCTTTCTGGAAATGGCTTGCGTGTGCTCGCAAAAGCTATCAGTGTGAAAATAATGACATAGCTGATGGTCATCATCATTCAAAAGATAACGTTACTATAAGTTCACAGGACAAAAGGATGTCCTTATAAAGTCTCCAAATTAAAAGTCTGAGGTTAGCCTGATCTAAGATAATCAGTAAGTAAACATAAAATGTTCTATTGTCTTACGTTGTAGCAATTGTTTTGTTTTCAAATACTCTACTTTAATCAAATGGTCAGTCTGATAGTAAACAGATTGGTGTTGTAGCAATTTGGTTTTCTATGTTTTACTTAAATATAGGTAAAACTCTTCTATATTAATTAGATGGTTGACGGCTTCTGATATATAAGATATGATATGATAAGATATGATGTGATACGATTCAGTCTCCAAACAGCTCTCCGCTACCTTGTTGTCCTAAAGGACGACTTTTCTGCAGCACGGTAGAACCCAAATCCTGCATTGACAAACAGTACAAAATCCTGTTGATTTTTATTTGCATCATATTTGTACCTTGTGACTTCATTCACGAGTAGACACCACTTTTGCAGTGATTTGAATCTGTGAGAGAAACTAAAATTCTTAAAAGAATAGCAAGAAAAAACGCAACAAAATAAAGGTTTCTGTGTCAATTAATTCTAGCTGGTTGTTCTCGTTACATAAGGCAAAAAATAGGGCAACCAGTTATATAAGTTAAAAATGAAGCACCCGGTTATATAAGTCTAAAACTGGTTGCTTCCGTTTTTGTAAAAAAAAATCTTCATACAGATATATACATGATATAAATCAACTTCAGATACACGCATGCAGGCAATAGGTAGGCAAGTACAAAGAAGGAATGAGAATATATTGGAGTTCCATAACTAAAGAAGCAGAGAGTTACGTCAGTCTACAGCTGGTTGCTTCCGTTATTGTAAAAAAGCTCATTCAGATACCTACACATGCTTTAAATATCCATTCAGATACATACATGCAGGCAATAGGTATATCTGTATAGCCGGTATAACCGCCCTACGGCGTAACGCAACAGCATCAGCTAGGCAAGTACAAAAAAGGAATGAGAAAATATTGGAGTTCCATACCTAAAGAAGCAGAGATTTTCACGAATACGCAGTCACTCGTCTTGAATGATCACTTCCACCGCCTGTTCCTTGAAAAGACGTTTGAAAGCCCTTGGCCACAGACTAATCAACAAGTCCTTGAATGACGCATTTTGAATGAACCAATCAGCGACTGCTATTCAACAGGTCCTTGAATAACGCATTTTGAATCAACCAATCAGCGACTGCGATCAGTCGCAGCAGGCTAACCGTTTCTCCCTACTCAATTTCATTTGAATAAGTCTGCCAGTGTTCAATTTGCGTTTCGATAGATTACTTCCCTGCAATATGTCCACGTCTTACTTCGTCCTTCGACAGGAATTTGCCCACAAAAACAAGTATTGTTTCCAGTTCCACAAGCTATAACAAAAAGACTCTGGCCTTTTTTTCTGCCGCTTGCAAGGTCATCAAATGTTCAATATGATATCAGAATTTCAAACGTTTTGAAACGTGACTTCAAGGAGTTACAGAAGCAAATTTTCATATCTGATGCATCGGATATGAAATATCATTAGCCCCTTTTCGCACAAGCAAAGATTAAAACCTCCTTGCCACAGGCAATTGGTGGGGAAGGCGCACTCTACTAATTTCCGTATCGTATATCGTCGTTGCCTTGTTACAGAGAGGCAAGCTTTAAGTGTATTAGAACGCTCCTTCCACACCGTGATGTTTCGTAGCGTAGAGGGTTTTAGGATTTTTTTTAACCAGAACCTGAATTTGTGCTTTTTTCACAAAAAAATCTTTTTCTATTTTTCATGATACTGATTTTGCAATTATTATTTTGCTTTTTGTACGTTTTATATGTTTTATTGATCCTCAACAAAAGATACGCTCGGATATATACTAGTATGCTCAAGCAGTCAGCAATATGTCATAGATATCGACCCGAAACCCGTCCTCGGCCTTGCCAAAGGCACGTACCTAAAGGCGTACGTAGTACGAAAAAAAAAATCTGAAGGACAATTGGTACCAGTTATTGCCCACGTAGATGTTCGCCTTCAGAACAAAAATAACAAGAAGAGTACGTCGCAGTGTTCCTGCAGATAAGGAATACCCAATGCAATTTCAGGTCGGCAAAACTGGATTTTAATAGATATAGCTAGAAATTGTACAACGACAATGAGAATCAACTATAATGATTATCCTTTTATTATCATTGTCATTTAGAAGTATTAACCACTGTAAAATAAATGTAAAACACATCATAAATGGCCCGCCTTGTTTTTTTTTCGCTCTATCGCATTAGATTTGGAGTCCGCTGAGGATGTCATCCATAAAATTTACTTGCTATGTGCGCCCTTCCCCTTCTTGCTCACTGTCCAATAAAGTGTGCAAGGACACTGTGTAATGTCCTATTGTCTATGTCTGGCATCTCTGTCAATCAAAAATCATTCCATTCCATTTTTTCAGTAAATGCGTACTGGATTGACCATATTATTCACATATTAGAGAAATTTAACAATAACTCTTCTTGAAGTAGTCACATTATATTACATTATTTTCAGTTTTTAAATCAAATTCACATAAAAAATTACGCTTTTATACACCTGTCGGTGTCACTTATAAAGTAATAAAAATAATATGATTTATTCCACTTCCTAAAATTAATGTGTATCGTAAAATAGCACTTTTTTACTCTTTTTTTTTCATTTTAGGACTGATTTGAACAGGCACCATTGTGACTGAATTTTAAAAGTAACGGACCTGAATCTCTAAGCAGAACTTCCGGTGGCTCTCATATGGACACTGCCTAGTAATTGGCTACCTTAATCTCGAAGCAGAACTTTCGATGGCTCACATGTACATATATGAACACTGCCTAGTCATTGGCTACTGTCATCAGCCTTTTTAGGCCGCCGAAAGATCTACTTGGAGAATAATGGACCCATGTCTGTCTGGCTTTACCCTTGATGCCAAACTAGTATCGGGCCGTTAGCCGTTTTCCTTCGGCAGCCAAGAGCCCTTCGCCCGCCTATCTACATTGCCGCTACGGGGGAGTTGAGCCCGAGGGGTTTGTCCGGGCCAGCCAAACTCCCCCCGGGCTAGACTCCCCCGTAGCGGTAATTTACACCAGCGGGCGAAAGGCTCTTGCGGCCCGGAAAACGAGTTTGGCTTCCAGGGTAGTCTGGCTAGACACCAGTCCCCCACGTTTCCGAGCTTTCGGTCCTGCCAGGGTACAGATGTAGGGTCCCCCCTCTTGAAGTTCGCTGGCTGTCTCTGCAGAAAAAAACATTAACGCTGTAGGCAATTTCTATTTTGTAAAAGTACTCTGTAGGATCATACCAAAGACTTTAGAAATGGAAATGCTGCTTTTTCTGCTTAGCTCATGTGAGATAGATTATGGGAAGATCAAACACACAACGCTACAAGTGGACTAGACCACGCGTTGTAGTACTTGCACAACTGTGGGGCCCAAGGGCTACAGAAATGGAGATAGGCACCGCCCTGTGTTTCGCATGGAGCGGACGGGACTCTTGGCAATTTGTGTATTGACATTACGATGTAATGACCTTAGGTTGATGTTTTTCTCATTTTCAAAACACTTATAATGGTTGGCCTTCAATTGTATTGGTCTAGGACTCTAGGTAACTACATTGTTGTCCTTCGATTGATATATTTCATCTGTTTGAAATAATAATGTCGTTGGCCTTCAACTGTTTTTCTGTCAATTTGTGTATTGACATTACGATGTACATGTAGTGACCTTACGTTGATGTGTTTCTCATTTTGCAACCACTTATGATGGTTGGTCTTCAATTGTATTGGTCTAGGTTGCTAAATTGTTGTCCTTCGATTGATATATTTCATGTGTTTGAATGAACACAATATGAATGATTAATTGGCTTCTGTTATGGCTATGGAGCTGGGAGTTCATATTGTTGTCCGTCGATTGATGTATTTCATCTGTTTCAAATAATAATGTTTTTGGCCTTCAATTCGATGAATTGGTCTCTGTTATATGACTACGGAGCTGGGAGGTCATTGTTTCTCCATGACGTGTTCGTAGAGTTGGTTAGTGTATGCGAGCGGCAGGTTTTGTTGTCCGGGGTATAAGTACGGGGGATCCTTGAACTCTGCACCGACTGTAGATCTGGATAACAAAGCAAATGCATGATGTTTACCTTCGTATATGGTCTGCTCTGTTAATTCTTACTCAAACACATTCATATATATGATGACAGGAGTATAAATCCCTCCTGCTATAAAATTGCAACATGATGTAACCCAACGCTATTTACCACGGGGACAGACGTCTGGTTTAGGTCATTGACTTTGTTTGGAGAAGAAGAGGAAGAAGAAACAGAGCAAAAACAATATGTTTCCTTCTGCGAAAGTAAACATAAAAATCAACATTACAGACTCCATGTTAATTTTCACGAGGACATACGTGTATCCCATGTCATGTTTTCAAACCTGTTACCTCATAAAAGTTTATCATATCCTTTCAGCTCAGTGCAGACCTATATGAATTACCCTTTACCAATAGACAATTCAGAATGACTGGGTTTTATGTACCGGACACAGGGTCTGATTTTCCTGTTCTATATCTGTATCGGTATAGCCGGTATAACCGCCCTTCGGCGTAACACACCAGCTTGCTGTTATAAAAGTTATGTCGCATTGATCAACTAAAATGCCAGTGTGAGTTCATGTTGGAAAATGAAGAGAATCAGAAGAAGACACAGAATGTGTGATAGTGAGTTAGGTTGATGTATATGTTTCAGTAAGGACAGTGAGGTACTACCGAAGCCACTTACTCAGTCTTTATCTCGTTGAGCGGAAGAGAGGCCTTGTCTTCATTTTGCCTGTGTTTGAAGGACGAACAAGACAATTATTATTTTATCACTATCAGTTTACATCTTCGTACGTCTTTATTTGACTTAACATTCATGGTCTAAATATATCAAGTTTACCTTGCTTTCTTCTTCTTGTAGCAGACGACAGACACGATGATGATGATGATGAGGAGTAGTGCCGCCCCTCCCGCTCCTGCTGCTATGGGAACGATGCTGCTCCTCTCGCCGCTTTGTAACTCTGACGCGGCCGGTGGTTTGGTGGTCTGCTTGCTGTCAATCCCTTTTGTCGTCAGAGGTTTCGCCGTTGGATCCTTCTGATGTGTCGTAGGCGGTGATGTTGCTACATCAGGCTTGTCGGTGACTTTCGATGGTGTTGTAACCGGTTTGGTAGCTGGAGGTGTCGGTTTGGGTTGTTCTGTAGAGGACATCATTGCTGACGTCATCTTCGTCGATGATGCCGTTGTTGTGTAGGTTGGCGGTGACGTCACGAGTGAATCTGTGTGGCCAATAGATGACGTTGACACGTAATGTGGTGACGTATATCCTCCATCTGACGTCATGTGTCTCGTGGTCGTAGTTCCTTGTGACGTCACATGTTTGGTGGTCGTAGTTCCTCCTTCTGACGTCACATGTTGCGTGGTCGTAGTCACCGGTTCAGGCGTGTCTGTGGTCGCAGCTTCCGATCCTGACGTTGTTTGTGTGGGCGACGTTGCCTCTCCTGTCGTCATGCGTTGCGTGGTCGCAGTCATTCCAACTGACGTCGGGTATTGCGCGGTTGTAGTACCAACTTCTGACGTCAGATGTTTCGGGGTCGTCCTTACAATTTCTGACGTCACACCTGACGTCACCTGTTGTGGGGTTGTAGTTTTGACTTCTGACGTCAGAGATTGCGTGGTTCTAGTCCCACCCCCTGACGTCAGAAGTTGTGCTGTCTTCGTTCCCGTTTCTGACGTTACGGGTTGCATAGTTGTCACCTGACTCGACGTCATTGGCGTACTCCATCTTGTACCTGCAATAGCAATGTTCAACATTTGAATAACACATGATTGATGGTAAGATATTTGATAAATTGAAGAATGCGCTTAAATTTGAAATGAATTCTTGCAACATCGTAACGTTTCTCATATGAAAAAATGCAAGTGCAGTCAACTCACTTTCAGAGACTTCAGTACTGGCCAAGGTTGGGTGGTCAGTTGATGAACTAGTACTAGATGTAGACATTTGAACTAGCGATGTTGATGTCTCATTGGATGTTGTTAAAATCGCAGGAGAGGTAGTCGTCAGATTCGACGTTGGTGACATCGTCGACAGCTCACCTAATATGGAGGAATATGAGATGCTGTCGATAACATGTTGCAATAACTTATAACTTGATGAAACTATCATATAACCATAAAATTTTGTGTTCGATAACTTTTGTCTAAAGCTTCAAGATTGAACTTCTACTTCATTTACTACCTCAATAGATTCACTCAAACACCTCTGGCATAATGCTGCAAGTATTGGTTAATAACCCGTTTCAGACATCAATTCAATTACATACACACTTCAATCTAGGACATATTATAACGTACCATATATTCTGATCAATTAAAAACAACAATATTGGGCTCACTAGTACATGTACATCCAAGCAGCTCCATTCTCAGTCGTGGGACGTTTCCATTCCAAGAGAGAGGGTAGATGCGCACGTAGGTCGTCAGAATGGGAGGGTCCAGGATATTCTGGGTGGTGTTTACACCATCACTGTTCGCTGGGAAGACCTTTATGATAAAATGAAGAATTACATTGTTGATATAGTAACAGGACAGCTATCTAGTGACGTGAAAACTATGACTGGGAAAACTGGGATAACTATTTTCATTGCTGTAGTGAAACACTAGAAGCTAGTAGAAACATGTACTAGTATGTGTAATGTGTTCAATATATGTGGCAAAGAGATGACACATAGACTAATATAATGTTTATTGCATTGTTTCTGTCACGTCGCTGTAACGAACAAATAAACAAATAATGAGGAATGTTTACATTTCCTTTCCCAGTGGGCGCCCATGCGAGTCCGTCTATACTGTACATGACCATCATGTATGGCTCAATTTCCCATGCAAGTTACAGTGCGGAATCGACACAAACACACAAACCCACAGTAACGCGACCAAAAACAATATTTCCGTTTCGGAAGTATACAATCGGACCTTTTTACCTTTCCCTCCCCAAAGGGTGCCCACGTGAGTCCGTCTACGCTGTACATGACCATGTATGACGTCAGCCACCCTCCCCACTTTCCCTGGGTCTGCACACCGCTGATGAAGCGGTTCGTTGTGAGGTTTACCTGAACAAGCAAAAATGTAAGCATAATTTATGATAATGTAAAATGGTCTAACTTCTTTCATGCTTTTGTTCTCTGTTTTTTTTGGGGGGGGACAGCAAAACTTAGACATTACCAAGAAAAAAATTACCATCTTTCTTAAACCATCTAGATACCAAGGAAAATATTTTTAAAGAATCTTGTGTTAGTGTTGTCTTACGTGTAGATTTAATTGCAATCTATTGTGGCATTACAAGGAGATATGGTTTTACAAATATAGAAACAAGTACCTGTAACCAGGGTTCACTATCGTGTGACAAGTTAAACTGCCAGGCTATGGGCCCGTTTAGCCTGGCTTTCCAGGCCTCGTAGCTGGGCAGCTGCGATGACGCAGACAGCTGGGCGTCCTGGATCTGTCTGCTTTCCAGGCCAAGGGCGTAGCCACAGTCAGCGGGGGAAACTAGGGCAGAAATTTTTGAGAGAAAAAAATAAGCAAACTACTCTATTTCTTCTGTCATAGAAAATAATTGACTAGTGTTGTTTAGTGTAGTTCCACCGAAGTATACCATTTGCAGCGTTTATTTGATTTGCCAAAAAGTATCAACAATAGTACACAAATTGAGAACTACTAATAGATCTAGATATGCCAGAAAGTAATTTGTGTATATTTGCTCGGCATTGTGTAGAAGAGTGACTATTAGGCCGGCCGAAAGTGATTTTATTAATGTTAATTAAAGGCAAAGCAACAGCGTTTTAGCAACCAAACATAAAAAAATTCACCTGCCTTGGAAAATTAACGAGCACTCGGAATTATTTGAGCTTCACTTGATAACCGTTTATGCTAAGGACACATTTCCAAACCAGTGCCCGGTCGGGCTGTTTGCTTGAACAAAAAACAAACATTTTTGTGTTTGTTGTCTTTTGTATCATACTTTTGATTCCTGGAATTTGGGATTGTGCCTTGAGCATTACCTGCAGATGACACTGCAGTGTACACTGCAAAGAATCCTGGGTAGCGACCGACTCGTTGTGCCCGAAATGTCACGAACATGTGCCGACCGCTCGACCGAAGTACTCCCGAAGGTGGCCGAGCTGCACACAGCGTGTCGATGACGTCACTATCGGCGTCGTTGCCGTCGTAGACTGTTACCCTGTCTGTCAGCTGGCAGTCATTTCCACTAAAGATAGAGCCTAGGAAGAACAACCATTTCTCACTAAACACAGACACGCGCAAAATTTGTATTTTGATCCATATATGATAAGATAAATAGAGGAGGACATCGTATAAGTTCCCTTCTCCTGCACTTTTCAAAAATACTTTTCTTCAAATGAAACTAAAAATACTTTTCGTTATTGTTTATTGTCTAAATCAATAAATAATCAGTAAATTAGACAAAAAGGAGATGACCACTACTTATCTACCAAATATCATTAAGATTCACAGCTTCTCGAGTTATGCTGTACAGTACAACAAGTACACAAAAATCCCGCTGCAGTGTCGTTGGAAAACGCCAGGTGGGCTGTTTTCGAACTTGACCTTCGTTTTCACAACCGCTACTAACCTACCAAATACCATGAATATCTATCCACAGCTTCTCGAGTTATGCTGTTGACATACATACATACAAAAACACACCACAGCCACTCCACCATGACCAAACTGAAAACATAACCTTCTGACGAAGGTAACAAACCTGTAAGGTTAAAGCTGGTGAAACTCAGCGCGATGTATGCCTCCGCTTGCGCAGTGATCCGCCAATCACAGCTGTCACGCGGTTCATACAGGTCCGGCCAGTTCGGGGATGTGATGTTCCCTGTGGGCTGGTTCAAACTGCCACCACAGGATTGGGTAACACTGTTTGCTGTAGGAGATTTTAGGTACGGCATTAGTTAAGGCACCTGATATAATAAAGAGATATCGGACATTTCAGACGGCCGGGAAGTATGCGATCCATTCTCGGCTTCCTGAATTCCCCCAGTGTCCCCTTGTTTCCAGCTGGCTCTCTGACCAAATTTTCACCGTATGTACTTACAGAGAGGTACCGGCCCTGCTTAGCGGCCTTGACGTAAACGTCTTTTTTATAAACTTTTACATTTAAGAGTCTGTAAATCGCCACTTTTGCCACAGCATTGGCTGTTTCTAGAATATCAGCATCCCTGACTCTGATATGCTTTTAGGTTATCAGACACAAGTTTGTATTCATGATATGGAAATGTGTTATGGAAATCATATTGCTACCTACTTGGCTCCTGAGTGGAGATACTTAATGAAGGAGTAGATGCACTTGGTAACTGAGTAGATGGCACCATGAAATGGAAGGCAGGCCAAGAACTGGAGTACCTGAAAGAGTCTCCAAATATTAGGTCCAATCATCATATAATTATAATTTAATAACGCATTAATAACTATCAATAACTTTTCAACCTGTCAATGTAACTATATAGGTGTGTGAAGCAGGTATGTTACGCTGAAGGGCGGTTATACCGGCTATGCTGATACAGATACTATAAATACGTTTTCAACCTAACTATTAATAATTTTTTAATTAGTCATCACATAACATTTCCCTTAGCTTTTGATGTCTGTTTTATGATTCTATTTTAAAAATTTGAGACGGTGCTGTCTTTTGTCCTAGTCCTAGAGAGCTCACCACATATATAATGTAGGTCATCTATAGTACCGTGTAACTAGCCTGGTTACCAAACCTATTATAGCTCCCGAGTCCTACATCCTCTCCGCATCCTCTCTATTTGCGGAGAGGATGTAGGACTCGGGAGCTATAATAGGTTTGGTAACCAGGCTACCGTGTAACACTATGGCACAAAAATTGATATCAGCAACAAGATTAGAAACATTAGAAAAATACATTATTTGACACAATAATGCGATAATTGATGTAACAGTATACTATATAATACAAAACTACACGAGGATAATTTGGGTTTGTAATGTTTTGTCATATATATTGCCGAAATGCTCTACATACGAAAGTGACGTGATGCCATTTTGCGTAGACTCCTGGTAATTCTGCTGTGCGGCTGTTTTCACAACCGTCACCACTCCCCCTGCGTTGGTCAGTCGTCCGTCGTGTATGGCAGCCCGGCATATACTGGAGTCCTGACCAATGACATTTCAATTTAACATTTAATTAAATCAATTGAAATTAATCAATATGATATTAAACTTATCGTATGATACGTTTTAATACAATATTGATGCATTCAAATAAATAATATCTGATTTGAAACGAAAAATAGTCATGTAGATTGTAACAACATATCCGCTGCAGTACCGTAGGTACCCGCTAGGAGGCCCATTATCAAACATGGCCTTGGTTTTTGCTACCCCTACCCATCCATGTAAGACAATGAACAACCGCATACAACTTCTCGAGTTATGTTGTACACATGCAAAAACAAATGCAACGCGCTGAAACAACGTGAACCATTTTTGAACTTGACCTTCGTTTCCACAACCGCTACTCACCTACTAAATACTAATCCACAGCTTCTCAAGTTATGCTGTCGACATACTTACAGACCCACACCACAGCCACTCCACATGCCCAAACTGAAAACATAACCTTCTAACGAAGGTAAAAAGCTAAAACAAAGTTTGCTTACGGTAGTGTAAACCCCTGTTCCATAGATGAAGAAAGCAGTATCACGACAGCCAGACGGACACAACACACTGTATACATGTAGGAAATATCAAAGAATTCAGTCCACGTAACAACATCATTACTTTGCATGCGTAACTAAAATATGCAAATAGCCACAGGGAAAGGTGCTACGTATATGTCACTATAAGAGGAAATCCTTGTAATATTTCACTTGGACTATATCTTTTTAAATTTCAATCTTTGACTAAGATGTTATTGTGAAAACTTGCCGAAGTGAACCAACACTTCAAATTCCAAGAATTCCTCAGGGAATGGACTTCAAAACCGATATTAATGAAATACCTGAAGGTGTCCCCAGTGATGTCATCCGCTTCTGTACTGCAGGTAACTGATTCTAATAATTCATATTAAAATATTTGTAAAAATCAAATAATGAAATCTTACTGATGTCACTATCATGTGTAATCTTAATAATACAATTAAACACTTTCATGAAAACTTTTTATACTTATGCATACTTCAAAGTCATATTTGACAATGGATGTGCAAACTAACTTTACAAAAAATTACCAAACGTTAATATTTTGTAACGGCGTTCGTTAGAAAGTTGGGCGTCTGGTATTACAAAAAGAAAAAGAAACTTACGCGGTGGTGCAATCGTTCCTCGGCACACTGAAAATAAAAATGCAAAGGTGGAAACTGCTAAAGCTGCATTATGTAACATTTATTTAAAGTGACCTTTACTTCTAGGTGTGAAACAGTGTTATTGTTTACTTTTATTGTGCTGTGGAGGCAAAACAGTTAACAGCGAATCACACAGACATGTTTACTGAAGACAGACAAAATGGAGCTAGGACATGATTAATGGGAAGGAAACAAACATCGTAAATGTTTAATTAAGCATTGTTGTGAGCCAGTTGTAGTCTGTGTAAAGGTTTGGTCGTATTTATCATACAACAAGTATACGACAATAAATTAGTTTATTGCAAGTTCCTGTCCGAAGGCTAATTGCAAATAACATGGACAATAGAACAGTGAAACAGGTACAAAATAAGTCTACAATCTACATAATAAAAGGTAATTGTCTGAAACCATGGCTGAAACTATGCCTGAAGGATTTAACTTCTCTTTCGTAAGCCATGGAATACATAATATAATGTCCCACCTTTTTCCAAAATTTGTGGGTTTTGGGCAGAAAAAAACGTCATGTCCCACCTTTTCCAAAATTTGTGGGTTTTGGGTTGTTAGAAGAAGAAAAAATTGAGGGCGTTGCAAATGCAATATATATGCTATGACAAAGAACGCATTCTAGCAGAATCATTGATTGAGACTCTGATTCACTTTTGTGAACACTTGCTCACCAAAATTTTGTGTCAAGGGATGAGTTCATTGTAATTGTACTATGAGTTGAAAATAAGTTTTGAAAAAAAAGACCATGGCATCTTACCTGACAACAGTAGCGAGGTCAACACCAACATCGATGCAGAACTTCTCCACCCCATTGTATTTCAAGATCCTTTCGCTGTCTTCTCTTCGATCGCCAGGCACTGGTTCTTTTCGTAAGGCACTGATTCTTTTCCTCAAGACGTGACGATATCATACAAATGCTCCCAGACAGTCTCCGTAACCCCTGCTTTGCCTATTGAGTCAGTTTCTGACTTTTGGAGAAGAGATGCTGTTGCAGTGAACGTTGGTTCACTGTCCAGCAGTGGTCCATGCGGGCTTGCACTGAGCAAAACTCGTTAAAAATGCTATCCGGTGTTGTTTTGCCCGGTGGTAAGCTTAGCTCTCCTACATCTATTGTTCTGTTGTGCCTGTCGATATGGCTTTAAAGGTATTGTCATGTGCGCGGTGGTTGTTGGGACGGTGCTTTAAATATAAGGCCGTTAAACTGCCATTTTTATCATGTGCATACGTCACGAGTGACGTAATTTATGGCCTCCGGAGATAGGGACTTAATGAGATTTAGACGTGAGGATGATAGCATGAAATGCAAAGAAGGCCCTTCACTAACAAGTGTGAGAAAAACACTCTGAATTACAACTTTTATTTACAAAACGCACAATTTTGGTTCATATTTGATAAAAATGATACTCAATCGAACCTTCACTTGACCAGCTAAAATGACAAAGTCGCATCAAATTAAAGCTACATGTATAACTTAAATAGCATCAAACTAAAATGTTATTGTAGAACTAATGTATTTAAACTTATTTATGTGAGAGTTACGGCTAAAAGGGGACTATTTACATCTAAATGCTTCAATATTTTAGCTTATCTGTTTTGGTAGAAGTCATTACGACCTTTACAAAGACTGGAGTCGAAATTTGGGTAAGTCCAACTTCTTGTATTGGAAGTTACAATTTTCTTTTTATATTGGCTTAAATATTTTATTCATCATCCCTTATTTAGAAGGGTAACGATGCACAAATCATCGATTAAAACATGCATATATGATGACATTAGCAAAAAAGCCAATTTATTTTGGGACCACAGTCTTTTGACCCTATGTCGTAAACAAATGAGAGGTCATTAGATTTATGGCTTTGAAGATAGTAACTTCAGAGTGGGACATACACGTAGGTTACTTCGCTGGCTGGTGTTGTTGGAAGTATGTTACGTGATAGTAGCTAGGGGCCGATGGAGAGACAAAGGTTTTGCAGCGAAGAGTGCATTTTTATCAATCGCAGACCACATCAAGCAGTATCTTGAGGTCAAAGGTTGTTGGAAGTCTGTGTCTTCCCCCGCCCCGGGTTTATATCATAGACCGTTATGTTGACACATGTATATAACTTTTTGCACTGTAATTATTTTCCCGTTTCCTTTGGCAGGCAATCGTCTATAAGGAGAAGACTGGACCAGCTGAAGACACGACCCTACAAACTTCAACCTGAGGAGGATTCTTGAGAGCTGAAGTTTAGGTTCTAATGTTTACATTCAGAGACGGAGCACACTGTCTTAGTTCAGTAAGTCCCCTTTAATTCACGTCGAAAAATCTCGCAATTCAAAGAAATCAGCACATGTGTCCGAATCAGATGCTACCTTTCCTTTAGCTGCGTCGGCTGCTGGAAGCGACTTTCGAATCGGTCGTTGAATGGGCTGCTAGCTTTAGCTATTAGATTCAGAGGGTAAAACCTATCCCGTGACAATACACAATAGGGAGAGTGACTTAATGTTTTTAAAGATAGAATTTAGGATATTGTTGACAGAACTAATCTGATTGACTAGTTCTCCCACTAAGGAACGTTATCGATCTAAATCACGTGATCAGGGAACGGCCAATGGCAGCAAAGTTGTCAATGACCGCGCGTAACTTGACTCTTTGGTTGGTCTATAAATAAGTTTGGTCAGCGCAGACGACACTTTACTACAAGGACGTTACCGGCCTTCACTCGTTCAAAAAAGGTTAGTGGAAACCTTTTAATGTCTCGTCCCTACCATTGAAGAAGTCGGCACAGCTTGGTAGTGAAATTCGTGTTTGTGAACGTTTTAATGTTATTTGAGCACATTCGTAGACAGAAAAGGACGATTTGTTCACACTTTTCTCAGAGAAATAATCGACAAGCTGACTACGTGTTAGTTTTCCCCGCAGCTGTGTTGAGAACGAGTGTTTGTTCGCTTTGCTTCTGTAGTTCAAGGCGGTTCTAAGTACTTTCGAGGACATGTTTTTGCGGTTTATGGGGAGAAAACCGCAACAACATGTTGTAGTGTTACGCTTACGTTGATTCTTGTTCTTGCGGCCATAACCTAGCCTCCTTCGCAGACTTCTAGCGAGACAGTTTGTTTCTACAAGCGGCTAGAGTGACCTTGTTCTCGGGAAAAGCTCTATCCGTGGAGCGGTCACATATCTCGCACATTGTTGTTTTGTTAAAAAAAGAAAGAAAATTGGATCTCAACTGGGGAATTTTCCCGTCAAAAGACAGATGAATGTCATACGACACTTTCCCGACCGTCGTACGACAAATATGACTCACTCATGTCGAGAAAACCCATCGGTAAAATTTAAAACAAAAACATTGGGCTTTTCAGAAATTTGAAGAAACTAGTTCAAAGAAACTAGCTGTAATGTCTAATTTTACAGTATGATGAAAAAATATTTTCGGTGTCATTTTACCAGAGAGTAGCTTTCACAGTGACATCATTGTTCCGCTATTTTCGCACACAAGAAAGCCAATTTTGGAACATTTGCCAACTGTGGAAGATATAGCCTCCACCAGACCTTTCTAAGGGGTTAGGATAGGGCCTGACTGGCCAGGGGAGTTGGTCCATGCACCGTTAGGGTTTCAAGCCTTGAAATGAACTCTACGGTGGTTAAACTTGCCTGGACAATTCTTCTCCCTATTTGGCTAAATTTGACTGTTTTTGAACCCACGTTGTTCGTCTGATGGAGACTATGGAAGTTATGCGGATGCGTAGGAAAACAGTCCTTCCTACACCTACGACAGTCTGGTAAGCTCAACTAATTGCAATTAGGCAGGCTACCAAGACACGCGTAGGCGTGGACATGTTATGGTAAAAACAAACTCATGTCGTAATAAGCATTCGGGTGACGGAATTGTTAAAAATATTTTGAAATGAACTCATTTTTTTCGCTGAATGAAACACTAACCCTTACACACATATGTATTGTCCACATTCAGTTCATTTTTTTAATGTATATGAATATAATTGTGCAAGAAAATACTGATTTCGCATTTATTTTCTATTTAATTTCTTTATTCATTTCTTTTTTTCCCATTTATTTTCTATTTATTTTATTTATTTATTTACTTATTCGGAGTTATAATAAAGAAATAAATGTAGTGTCCACATCAGTTCATATTTTATTAATATATAAATATTTGGTGGGAAAATAAAAGTACGGATTCAATCGCTATCTTCAACCGCCCGTTTTAACGTTTTCTAACCGACTTTTGAAGAACACTGTCGTATTCATGCTTTTTCCCACACGAACTCAATACCAAACCGATGACGCAATCGGGGTTACAGTTATACCGGAGCCCGTCTGAAAAAGGCGGGAACTTGGAACGAACAAAGACGGTGTTCTCTCCGGTGCTTCTGGTGTTTGTTGAGCGTTAAGTGCAAACTGAGGTAACCTACTTAGCGGGTTCGCTGCTCGTGTTGCACGGAGAAGTGTTGTGTTAAAGGCATTCAGTGCAATTTTAGGGTAGAAAAACAAAAATATTCTGAATGAGGAAATCTGCCCGATATTTACACATACTGCTACACGTTAGCACATTTCAGTCAGTATTTCATACTTTGGGTATTTAAAACGGCAGAAACAAGCCCCAAGATGAGTCCTTTATTTTCTGGGTGGTACCTAAAAACAGCCAAGGCTAGGGCCCTTCCAGTAACTATTTTTCTTTTCATCAGAATTTTGGGAATTTGGGAAAATCTGTCTGATATTGACAATTACTGCCATTTCTTAGCACATTTACGTCATCATTTCATACTTCCAGCCTTTTGAAATAGCACCAAACCAAGGTACGCGAGGAGTCCCTTAAGCTTTATTTTTTGGTACCACCAAAAATAACTCGGGTAAGCCACAGTGCATACAATACTGACATTGATATGTATTGCCATTTCTTAGCACATTTTCATATTGGAAGCATTTGAAATAGAGCCAAAACAAGCTACGTAAAGAGTTTCGTTACTAATTTTTGGTACCACCAAAAATAAATAGTAAGCCATTGCGAATACATTTGGAAGTCATAGGTTAGAAGAACAAAATGATATATTTTGTAGACAGCAAGTAGCCTCTACCAGGCTTCTGGAGGAGGCTGGAAAGAGTAGAAATTCGCCAAGTAGAGAGATAACATGACAGGGGAGTTGGTTCGCAAGAGGCAAACTGTACTCTTTTGTGGACCAACTCCCCTGACATGTTATCTCTCAATTTCTACTCTTTCCAGCCGCCTCCCGAAGCCTGGTAGAGGCTAGACAGCAAGGCGGTCACCGGTACTTGAGCTACTAGTCCTAATCAACGAATCAGCTTTCAACATTGTCAAATCAAGGTCACAGTTACATGCACTACACAGTGTTCAAAACTAGCTTTGATACGCTTGTTGGGTGTGGAGCATTGAAGCTATTCAAAACACTTCCCTGTAGAGAAAACAAAACCAACTGTTCCCTTTTCAAATCCTTCTTGCGTGTTAGTGCATTGCATGTCCCAGAAATAACCTAAACCCACATTCTATACGCTGTGCAACAACAATGAAATCCAACTCTACTTAATAGCATTGAAACCACTACAGTATACATGTGTTATGCTTAAATCTTAGAGACTACATGTCAGAGAATATATAGTTAAACCTTCATTGTTGCCGCTGACATATATTCCGTATGTAGTTTGCCGCATACATATATTCTGTACGTAGGATGACGTTATTCATACGTGTATTTAGCTTTGTTAGATCTTTAGTTGTAAAAGACCATACAAATGTCCCTGTGCTTTTTAGTAAGTCAATAAAGAATATGTGTTCCGTACAGATTATTTCTTCAGTGATCATTCCAAATGTGTACTAAGTTTTGTGTTAACTTTTCAGGCTCGCGCAACACTTTAAGAGGTCAAAATGATGTTGATCAGTTCCGCCATTTTTGTGATCTGTTCCTTGGCATTCGGACAAGCTGAAGACTACCCTACAGGTTTGTATTTCTCATCATTACTTGTCTTATTTTGGCTTGTCTGTGTGTTTGTTTATGTGTGTACATCTGTGTGTGTGTGTGCGCGTGTGTGCTTCTGCAGTTTGTGCATGCTCTACCAGAGGGCGCTTGCTGTTATGTGTATTTCTCATTACCTTGATAATCCATGATTATCACACAGTGTACATGTCCGCCCATGAGAACCAGGCCGTGTCCGTGTCCAAGGCAGGGTACATCGAGTGGCACGACCGCTTCCAGTACCCGGATGACGCTGACGTCACGCTCACCCTGCAGGCCGGAACCGGAAATAACGTCAGACTGGACTTCCTCAGCCTCAACATCGAGGGTTCTCCAGGCGCATGCGTAGACAAGCTCGAGGTCTGTACTTTTTAGATTTCAATCAATTTGGAAAGAGAGAGGGAGAAGGAAAGAAAGACAGAAAAGAAAAAGACAGAAAAAAGTAGAAAGAAGTAGAAAGATGGAAAGAGAAAGAAAGACAGAAAGAAAGAAAGAAAGAAGGACAGAAAGAAAAGGGAGGGGGAGAGAGAGAGAGAGACGCGGCCGCTGGTGTTACACCGAACGACTTCTTGCAACCTCGCCATTGGGCATCTACTAGTAACTCTAAAAAATATGATTAAAGCTATAGTAATGATGCTCCTAGCCCTACTGTACTTGGTGGCAGCGAGTTCCACTCTACCATAGTTCTAAGAAGACACCAGTTTTTGAACACCCTTTATTAATTTGAACGTAACGTTTGTTTCTAGGTGTACGGTGGAGAAGGAGCGCCCGGGCAGAACGTCACGCGGACGGTTTGCGGCACGAACGTCCGGGTTCCCGCCTTCACGTCCCGTACTGAGGAGGCCGTCCTCCGGCTGCGGTCTGACAACATGGTCCGGGGCGACTTCAGGATCCTCTACAACGTCTTCAGACTGGTCGGGGAAAACGGTAAAGAGATGTCGTATGCAAACAAAGACATGCAAATAGCGATTCTGGTATGCAAATAGAGACAATAGTGACATTTGCAAAACAGATACATTATGTTTACCTTCGCATTGTATAACCTAACAAACTACTGCTCTGTATTCTTGAATACATTTATAAACTGTATATGGTGACCAGCCTTTCCAACTCTGTGCTCACTGCAGCCAATTGCTACATAATGTAACCAAACACCATAGGGTGTCTGCTACAGCACCAGTTACCATGGTGACAGCCGTCTGATTCAGGTCACTGACCCTTTTTTGTTAAAAGACGAAGAAAGCAATAGAGCAAAAACAACCTTTTTGATTGAAATTGACACGCGTACTGAGTCTATGCCATGACTGTGGTGTGTCTGTTACAGAACTGTGCCCACGTGACCATTTCAAATGCACCAATCAGCGCTGTATCCACGAGTCGCTGCTGTGTGACGGGACCGACAACTGTGGGGACAACTCGGAGGAGTCGCAGGCCGCATGCGTCGATCCTGAACTCGCGCCTGTGAACGGTAAGCAGCATGAGCAACTTTCAGTTACAAAAAAATGTGTTTTCGTGATAAAAAACATTCCTTTTTCAAACTTCCATGTACGGAAGTATTGTTTTGGGTCACTGACCTTGACTTGTGGTGAGTTTGATTGTTTCATGTCCGAGTAGCGATTAATACCAAATTGAATTACATCACTGTGAGCTCCACTGTTCAAATTCTTTCATGAAAACCCCATACACTTCCCGGAGGTCTGAAATCGTTCTTTTCTTTTCTTCTTCTCCTTCTTTTTCTTTTTTTCTAAGCGATATGAAATATCTACCCATCATTTCCTTCCCCAGTGACGATGAAGAGCACTTGCGGCCGAACCCTTCCCATCGGCCACTCCGGTTACATCTACAGGGGTGAAAGTTCGCAGGACAGAGTTCACATCAACGCGACGGCCTCTGATAGGCGCAGGGACTGTCACGTGACCCTTGACGCGCCTGCGGGGTACAACATCAACCTCCATTTTGAGTTTCTGGACATCCAGAGGAACTTCCCCTTCAACTGTGCCGACAAGCTCGACATCTTCAACGGTCGCCATGGCAACGTGACGTCAGCTGCCAGGACTGTCTGCGGGATCGACGAGAGGGATTTCTCGTCCACCGGAAGTGTCGTCACTCTCCACGTGACGTCAGCGTTTGGGCGGAGGGGCAGTTTCCGGATCATGTACACACTCTTCCGGCCAAGTAAGTTTTGCCTGGTTTAATATGATAATCATAAAGTTGCTACCTTATAACTCTTCCATGACCTTCACTGAAAGCATGAGACATTCAATTCATCTTTTTATAATTATTTCTAATTATATTATTATGATATGAGATCTTCGACCAGAGTCAATATTTGTAACTGTTTGCAATGCTGCTTAAGAACACAGTAAACTTAAGTTGAACTTCATAGACTGAAAAAAAATATTTACCACTCTATTTCTATCATTACAGAAAACTGTATCATTTATTATATAAACGTAGCTGCAGCCTAGTGTCCAAACTTTTTAATTTTAGCAGCCGAGGCTCCTTCGTCCTCTATAAGTTCGGAGAGGACGAAAGCGACTCGGCAGCTAAATAGGCTTGGACACCATGCTAACCATTACAATATCCCAAAAATCCCATTGTTTTGCTCCTTTTTCTGTAGGCAGCGGGTCCTGCTATAACTACGAGTACCTGTGCCAGACCGACCGCCGCTGTGTCCTGTCTGACGTCACCTGCGACGGCAAGGACAACTGCGGGGATGCCAGCGATGAGACGGCAGGGGCTGGGTGTACAGGTTAGTCGTGATGCTATAGATACATGAAATAGCTTCAAAGGAGACGGTGCGGTCAACATGGGGGAATTCAGGAAGCCAAGGATTGCATGGGGGGCTTTTGGGGGCCCTCCATTGCTTCCCAGATGTCCGAAGTTTCCGATTTGTTGCTTAGGACCGCATTTGCGTTGTTTGAAGACACAGAAATATTTATGTATACCGAAAGAAAGCATCTTGTTTTTGCTCTGTTTCCTCTTCTTTTTCTCCGAACAAGTAAGGTGAACGCCCTGAACCAGACGTCTGTCACCATGGTAACTAGTGTTGGGTCACGCCATGTTGCAATTTTATAGCAGGAGGGATTTAGACTCTTGTCACCATTATGAGTGTGAGTAAGAATTAAAAGAGCAGACCATGTGCGAAGGTAAACATTATGCATTTGCTTTGCAAATGTTACCTTTCTAGTTCTGACTTTGCAGAGAGTGCCGGCTCGGCAGGACTGGGTGTTGCCGGGATCGTGGGGATCTGCCTGGCGGCCGCGGCTGTGCTCTTCATCCTGGTCGGGCTCATGGTCTACTTCAGCGGCACCATCAAGGGCCGCATCACCGCCTGCCTCACTACGTCACAGACGTCGTACGACCCCAAGTAAACCCATATCCATGCGCCAGTTGGCTAAAATTTTAAATAAGTGTCAGTTTTCGAAATAATTCTCAAAATGTTTTAGACTTGAAATAATACCAACTGGTGTCTCAAAATTAGTAAAAATAGTATCAAATATAAAAACTGAAACATTTAAATCTCTCGCTTTTCGTAAAATATAAATTTCCCCTTTAACACTTTTTTTTAGTTTCTTGTCAAAGCTAGTACCGTCCAATGTTCGCCTTGCTTTAACAGCACAAGAACTAAAAAAAAAACAGATAAAAGGGTGGATTTCCTTTCAGACAAGGAAAGAGAACACATATTGCTGTACCCATGGCATGGACCATTAGAAAATAAGACTGCGTAGGTCTAAGAATGTCACTTTGAAAATCGCCCGGCGACTGGAGCCGCTTGTCGTAGAGGTCAGAGCAAAGTGCTGAGTGTTTTGAACAGGAAACACTAGCTCTTGTTTACAAACCACTGATTTCATGGACGCCATTATCTATTTAGTTTCAAACGTTTATTTTGACTGGAAATTGTTTCACAATGATTGAAACGTTTTATCTACTGATTTCTTTACCTAAACTGTTGGTACAATATCACAAATCATCCAGAATATTTTGCTTCAAAGCCGGCGATCGGGTGTGCCAGAATTTTAAAAGTCTTGCATCTGTGTTTTCTCCACCGTTTGCTTAGCAGGTGGCACCTGTATAGTTTATTTAGCTATTTTATGGAGTAGATAAAGTTTCTTTCAGTATAGATAATATAAACATTAATGACGTAGTGCGGTCCGCAGGCAGACCGCTTGGCGTTTGGATTAATTGCGTTTCTAGGCAACGCCAGTGTCATAGTATAAAGAATCGTTGCTTTTTCTCTTTTGCACACACCAAAAAAATACATTAAATCTTACCATGACTCTATGCTTGCGTATTTGCATCGTGTAAACGCTATATGCGAATGCTTTACATTTGAATGCGCATCTGAATAAAGGAGAGTCCTAGCAGCAAGAATTCTGTGTATTTTATTAGACCGGGACGGGAGCCGATACCAACTTCGCATCACCTTTGACCCGTTGCACACGTCACGTGGTCTGAGCTATCAAGCACTCAATTGTACTGAAGAGGACAAAATGGCTTGTCGAAAATTCAAATTTCTTTGCGGTGGAACAAAATTAGTTAAATTCCCCTCCATAAAATAGATTGTACAAACAACCTTTTTTCTGTCAAGTTAACACCGACGGTAACAGGAGAAGCTTAGCAGAGAACCTTTGATAAGTCCAAACGTTACTCATAAAAAGCTTGCTAAGATCATAAAATGTGTTCTTTAAGATCATGAAAATAAACAAAGTGTAAAAGCCTTTGTGCGAATTTACGTTATCAGACTCGTTAACCTAAATCGGTGGAAGTAACGTGCTCACATTGTACAGTAACGACCTGCTACTGAAAATATACAGGGTTCAGTATCATGTAAACAGAATACGGGTTATTGCGCGTGGTCCAGTTTGTTAGTGACCCTGTTTCGGAAGCAGAAGGTCAAGGATTCAAATCCCGTCCGTTGGCACTCATTGAGGCTTGTACACTATAAAAAAACCTTTATATTCACGTACCCAGCGAAAAGAGGCACTAGAATGGCAAATTTTATCTTGAACGTTACATGCACTGTTGTCAGTTTCTGCTAACAAAATATATTTTCGGTGAGGTGGTAGTAAACTGGCTCAAGATAAATTAATGTTTTATATTTTTTCTAGCAGTGGGCAAAGTTGGCGGGTCGTATTTTCATTTCGGCACTCTTGACGGAATAGAACATGCCCTTCCACTGTATCCACTCGATCCCGTCCCCCCTGCCGACGTGCTTCCCCCGAGGATGGTACAGTCCATTCAGGTTGCTATGGTGACAGCTGCCGTACCACCAGCCACCGCGGAACCGGTCTGCACATGCGCTGGGGTCCGAGTCGTTGTCCCGGTCGGTCGTGCTGAAGGGCCGGCCGTTGTGGTAACTTAGCGCGTCTCCTGGACATGGAAGGTCAAAGGTAAGGGCTACTCTTAAATCATGACAAACAAGAAACTGCAAATCCACAGGCAGCAGCTAGGGGGCCAAAACTTAATGATTCTTCTGTCATGAAAGTTAATATATTTTGGTATAGTTACTCATTTAAACTTTTGTTTCAATACAAAGACCTAGCTTCGACAAGTCAATTTGCAATCTGATCTTCTTCAATAGACTGACCCAGTGAGACTTGTCACGTGGCTTGCTGGATACCTTTGACCCAGTGTTGACGTCACGCTTTCGAGAAGCCACGTGACAAGTCTCACTGGGTCAGTCTATTGAAGAAGATCAGAGTGACTGGTCTAGCTCTAGGTTTATAGAATAATCCTTTAATATCGTTGTCTTAAAGAAAGCATGTTACCTGCATTGCCACTATACCATCCAAGCCTTAGAATATACTTGTCACTTTCTGGTTCCATGTGAAAGTAGGCGTACTGCGCATGGGCACGTCTATCGTCCCAGTCCGTTAGGGTCACCTGCAGCTCGTGAGGCTGCTGTGACGTCAGCAGTCGGATCTTTTCGTTGCCCAACCAGAACTCGCCCCGAACGTTGCCGAAGCCCCGTCGGTAGTCGCCCCAGTTCCGGAAAAAGTCGACGGAGCCGTTCAGACGACGATGGATAACAGTCCAACCTATGGACGACATGGAAGACATACATCAGTGAGCTAACCGCGACGGGGGCCGACATCGTTTACCAGATACCTTTGACCCAGTGTTGACGTTGCACTTCTAAGAAGCCACGTGACAAGTCTTACTGGGTCAGTCTACTGAGGAAGACTAGAGTGACTGATGGAAAGCTCAAGGTGAGAAAATTTACCTTTTGTGTTGGAACAAGTATTTTTCACATTTTTGTATCATTTGAAAGTGTACAAAACGCACCTCCGCCGCTGTCGACCATGTCGCAGTACACCGGAAATGACGTAGTGCCCAGCTGTACCGTGTACCGTCCGTTCACAGTGACACCCTGCCGGTACATACCGGCACAACCTAAGCAAGAAATTTTACATGGTTAAATATATCTTTCTTTCCATCCCAACACATCATTTTTTTAAATTCCAAATATAAAAGCAGTTTTCAAATGATTTTTTAGCCTTTATTATTAACACAGCAATAACTCAAACTCTGACAATATATCAATTGATCAATCATTAATAATTCTTGTACGATAATTGTAAAGTACTATAATTAATATTTAACTGACATGGATCATAAATTTATGTCATTCATAGGCTAGCTGTACTAAACAATTAAGTTTAAAAGCTATGGGAACGCTTCCAAAAATCAAACTTGGCAAAAGACTTTGCACACTTAAATTTTAAGAGGCAAACATTGACGGTTCTGTGAAACTATCCATGTGTGTGTAGAACTCTTGACCCTACATTTTTACGCTCGCATCAGGAGCGCTGCTCTTACCTTATCAGCCAGCTGCTCTACTAACAGTGGAAGGACGTGTTTAACGTTTATAACAATTAAGATTAAACTTCAAAGGGCAACTTTAAGATATCTCGGGCTATTCTTGAGTAAGTGCCGTGTTCTTAGTATCTTGGAGTCAAGTAGGGCCCACACATGAAGGAGGCATATCCGCACTACAGGCAGCTGGCTGCGTCTGGTACGGGTTTATACCGGATCTGCACGTGCACCATATTCAGACCTCTCTCCTTTTGACTACTAGTATTTCTCTTCCCCTCCTCTCTCTTTCTTTCTTTGTCTCTTTCTCTCTCTCTTTGGTGTGTGTATGTGTGTGTGTGTGTGTGTGTGTGTGTGTGTGTGTGTGTGTGTGTGTGTGTGTGTCGTGTGTGCATGCGTGTGTGTGTGCTGTGTGTGTGTGTGCGTGCGTGCGTGTGTGTTGCTGTGTGTGTGTGTGTGTGTGTGTGTGTGTGTGTGTGTGTGTCAGTGGGGGCTTTGCCTGTCTCTCTCATTGCAATATGCTACGCGCGCGCGCGCGTTTGCTGTTTTTGTTTGTTTATGTGCGTGCGTGCGCGCGTTAGAATGTAAGTGCGCCTCAAACCCGTTCACACAAAGTCAACATCAAAATGAAAGAAAAAGAAACCATCAAATATCCTTACCTACGAATCTCGACGTCGCCGAACTACGGTCTTCGGTAATCCTCGACACCTCGTCGGCCTGCCGAGCGATCCCTCCGGAAGCCGAAGTGTTGCCGACTCGCCACTGTAGCTCCATCAGCAATTTACCCTGCTCCTCCGCCATCTTCTCCATCTTCTCAATCCTCCTCGAGTTCTCGTTGGACTTTTTCTGCTGCTGTTCTCGTGCGAGTTCCAGGTAGTTGATCCGCATGTCTATGGCTGGGTCTGACGGGCACATCCTGTCGTCTTCAGGGACTATGAAGGTGTAGGTACACCGGCCTTCTCTCACCGCGCGCTCGAACATGTTGAACCCATAGTGTCCACGGGGGACGTCGTTTAAAGTACTTTGAGAACGGCATCTGGCAAGGAACAACAGTAGCAAAGCAAATAAGTGATTCCGAACCATATTGATGGTAAAATTGCCAATTCCGGACGATATATGTTATTATAACAGTCTAAAACATTTTAGAATCGTCAGAAGTGAAATGAGCTTGATCCGCAAATGCTGGATATCTAGGTAAAGGCTGATTTGAAAATGCTCGACGTTCTTAAAGCAAACTTTGAAAATAGGAGGTTTTTGATACGGTAGGTAGGCCTCACACGTCACAAAATGCAAGCTCCGTGATTGGCTAACATCATCACAAGCTCTTTGTCGATTGGTGGAGACCACAACATCATGGAATGCTTTGCGAGGAGCGAAGAAAGATACAGCTAATAATAGCTGGGAATAGATAGCAGGGCTCGAAATACCACAATATGGCCACCGGTGGTCAAAAACTACCCGGCATTCTTCAAGGTATTACCATAACCGTAACTCTAAAACCAACCTTGACCCTAACTATAGCCCCTAACACCTAAACTCTCACGTATGTGTTGGCTCAACACTAGCGAAACACTTTAGACTAATCAATAGCGTTATACTTGGCCATGGCGGGATTCCCCTTACGTCACGGTGCCACGTACAGTACCGCAAAATGGCGTCTGAACTAGAACTACTCAAGTCCAACAGGGAGGAACTTGTGAGAAAGATTCGTTTGGTTAAACCTTTCCTAGACAGGCTACTTCAGCACGGTGAGATAGTTGAGGAGGAGTACGACACTGTTCTGGCAGAGAAGATTCCACAAGACAGGGCAAGAGCTCTTCTGGATCTTGTGGGGGCGAAGGGCGGCCGAGGGGCTTTTCGCCATTTTCGGGAGCACTTGAAAAAGGACAACCCAGAACTAGAGGAAGTGTTGCACAGGTGCGTACGTGCATGTATAGCCTTAGTAGATTTAGTTTTCTCATTTTAGTCCAACTTTTTTCTTAATTGCAAGATTTTGTAGACTATCTCTAGTAAGAAAGGGCCAGGATGTTTGATTCTTAGCTTCCGCGAATAAGATCATTCTGAAGGCACTGTAACGTTGTGACAATTAGAGAACTATTGGCTTATGACGTCGTATTAGGTGTAGAATTTCGTACAAAAACTTATATGGTATTGTAGAATGTAAATGCGATTAAGAATAAGATGGCGCAGGCGAGGGCGATGGCGCAGTAAGTAAAGAAGTGTTTGTGTGAGAATGACGTCAATGTTTACATAAGGTTGACATGTTCCGTGTCTAGGTGTGCAAAACACAACCTGCGGTACAAGCTGTACTGTGAGGAATGCAGGACATTGTTGTGCCGCACTTGTCGTTCGGAAGACCACAAACAAGATCACAGGTAAACTTTTGTACCTGATACTTGGATACAATTGTGGTTATGGTGACATAGTTGGTCTCCCTAACATCTTCTGAGACTGCAGGGCAGTTTTTGTTTAAAAATCTTTGAGGAAGGATAACTCAAGGATAACTCCAGTTTTTAGTACGAATGTACATGTAGCTTTACCTATGCTTGACATAATTAGATTTTTTCGTTAATTTATTCAAGTCATGACCTCCTTTGCATAATTTAGGAGGAAGTGCTAGAATAGCCTTCTCAGGTAAGGCTGTCATTGAGTGGAAAATATGATCAACTGATATGATCCATGATAGAAATAAATTGAGGGTCTTGGAATCCTTGTTCATTTTCTTTTGCTACAGGATTTCATCAGTAGTCGAAGATGCTGATATCATCAGAAGGGATGTCACGGCCTTTATGAGAGAGAACAGGAAGCTGCTGAAAACGTTCAAAACATCTAGTAATGGGGAGGAAGGACGGCAAAAGTTGCTCTTCGACATTGAAACGAGGAAAAACACACTTAAGGCAATGTTTATTACGAAGATAGAGTCGGAATTTGAATGGTGTAGGAATCAATTGGGTGCACGTAAAAGAGATGTGAGTCCAGTAGGTAGCATCTCCAGCATAGCAAGTTCCACAATGAGTGACCTATCTACCAGCTATGCCCCAGAAATTGAGTCCACGCAACCATTGAAGGCTAGGACCCCGGAACGTAAGTTTCTTCCCCGCAAACCCCAGTTTCATCCTTACGAAAGAAAGGATTCGAAAGACCAGACTGAGGCAACTACATTTCGCCCCCCTTCTTCTGTTTCACAAACTAACGGTAACACACCAGTCGTTATTCGACGGCGCCGCCCTCAAAGTCAGGAATATTGTATGCTATCGTAACGTAACAGTGAAAGGCGGCAGCCAGTTTCCACTCAACCCAAAGTGAGCTTGATTAACTAATGCTCAATATGCTACATGCATGAAGTATTTGCAGGATGTAAAATCTATCCCTCACTGTAAAATGGGGCTAACCGAAAGCAGTACAGTAATTCCGAAAAACACACTGAAAGATACAGGTTCAATGTGCCAATAATGGTGTAACCATACTTTAAGACACAGGGGTCCGGGCAAATAAGTCCATATCTGACTAACAAGCTAGCAACATCTTCTGCCTAGGCAAGACATGGTTACAATTTGCACCCAAACCTCCCAAGATTCTTCTCAATCCAGGCGTAACAAAATGGCGCTGTGGTTGACACCTGTATTGATATTTATAATGTGATAGTCCACGATAAGTTTAGAATTGATTCCAATCTTGATTGTCGCCAGTTACCATGCACTTAATTCTGCACATGCAGCACATCAATGTGTCCAGTTTGACCTTAAATAGTTTCACATGGAATACAGGTAATTATGTTTACCTAAGGAAAACATATTGTTTTTACTACGTTTCTTCTTCCTCTTACTCTTCTGTTGCAAACACTAACCTCTGACCTGACCAATGACATGATTTGTTGACGTCTGTCACCATGGTGACTGGTGTTGGGTTACGTAATGTTGCAAATTCATGGTCTGCTCTACTCCATGTATGTGAATGTGTTTGAGTAAAAATTAACAGAGCAGACCATGTCCGAAGGTAAACATTATGCATTTGCTTTGCAAATGTTACTTCTCTAGTTATACCTAAATTACCAATGTTTTGTGTAAATAGTGCAATTTATTCCAGTTCTCAGATGTATATATTAACCAAATGTATACTGAAACCTTCAAGAAACATGTTTTGTGTAAATAGTGTACCAGTTCAAAGATGTAATAGTAATATTTCACACTTTATGAATATATATATTTCTGAAGACAGAAGAGAACTTGGCAAAACTAAAAATGGTGTTTCTAGGAACATGTTGTTTTTTCAAAACATTTCCGTTTTGATGATCTGAGAGGAAAGAAATTGTATAAGTACAGCAGGTAACTGTTATATGCAGAAAAAAAGTAATATTTCGAGCCCTGGATGAATCTATTCTAAGCTAAGAACAACCCAGGGCAAAATCAGGTCAAGAAGGAACGGAAGCGAAATAAAAATGGCCGTTGTGTACTAAACATGCAGATAAGCCAAAATAAAGGTCCTCTGGCGGACTCACTTTAACGGTGAATCACTTGACTCTTAGTGTGTGTGAGGAAACATAAACCAGATGGACTCATTTGGGGAATGAAAATAAACTGGGCATTTGAACTTCCGAAGTTGACGAACGTGATTTGACAATTAGCTGTGGGTCGATGTATTATTAAAGGACATTAAAAAATCCATAAAAACTTGTGGTAAGTGTACAGGCTTTCAACATTTCAGAGTATGAAAGTTAACGTTCTCGAGCTCGATATGTTTTCAGTTTTTTTTGGCTTGATGTCATACTCCGCACATTGCAATCTGAGGGCACTTTTATACGGACACTTTACAAGTGAAACGCTGCAGTTTTGGTTGAACCGCTAGGCCTGTTAGTGTAGTAGGCCAAGTCTTCAATAGAGACAGCGGATCTAGACTATAATATTATTGTGTCTAGAAGTCATTCTCATTCTAAGAGACCAAAATCGGTCTAAGGCCGAATTTTATCGGATGGTTTGGTCTGTCAGTACAGATATTGGAGACCATAGGTGACCAAAAAACTTGTAAATGGTCAATTTCTAACTCTTTGGTCAGTTTCTAAATCTTTCTAGATACTATTAGTTAAAGTTCAACGTCTAATAGCCCACGGACTCTGGAAGAGCTTAGACAAGGTCGATACAAACTTTCTACAGGAGTCCAAATACTAGTACGCCTTACTTTGTCTTAGGGCGTAATCTGAACATACGACATCGCCCGATCTCTGATTGACCAATCAGCGCTCGCGTTACTCCCCGCCTCGGCACGGTGTTGCGTAATGCGTTGTGGATCAAACACCGATTCTTACGTACCTTAACTGTTGTGAGACGCTTCTTGAATATTCGGCGCTTTCGGAAAAGGTAAGAATGTCGTATTTTCTTTGTGGTGACATTTTAATCTATTCTGCTAAATTCGCCAGTTACACGTATCAAAAATAATCTGTGGACAATTAATTTTGACATGTTAACTCGCG